GATGGGCGTCATATTTCTCGACTCCCCAACTCAAAGCTCGTGCATGCAATGACCGTAGGAAAAAGGAGCGAGAGTAACCCAGATTGCCTGCAAACAGAAATGGGCCCTTCAATCATACGTGTCCTTTTGGCTAAATTATGAAGCCAGGTCAACCAGAGCCATCTATGTTCCACTATAAAAGAACAAAAACAGAAACCTATGCGGCCAATGGAGGTCTGAACTGCATTTTGGCATACGTAAAAGGCAGCTGTGGCGCGGCCTTCTTCTCAATGCCGTGGAACTGCTCAAGCATCTTCTGCCACACCCTTTGACGCCTGGACTCCAAACCGCAAGCCAGCCGTGCGGTGTGGCCGCGTGCCGACCTCCGTGCGCCTCCGCTTCATCGGATGCACCGCCTGGAGTCTCCCGCCGTCAGCTAAGCAGTGCACGACTCGCAGGTGGCCAAAGCGAGCGGCCACCTCTGCGGGCGTCTGCCCGCGCCAATCGGCCGAATCCTTCTCCGCGCCGGAATCCAGCAAGCGACGCGTGACGTCATGGTGCCCAAAGATGGCGGCAAAATGCAAAGGGCTGCGCAGGCGCACGTCCACTGCGTCCTTGTCCGCTCTGGCCTCCAGCAAGCAATGGACCGTTTTCGGACAACCGCTTTCGGCAGCCCCATGCAGAGGCACGCGGCCTTTGTGGTCGGTGGTGTCCTTGTCAGCGCCAGCTTCCAGCAAGCTTTGGACACATTCCAAATAGCCTCTGTTGGCAGCGATATGTAAGGGCGTACATCCCCGCAAATCAGTCCGTTGTGTATCGGCCCTCGCTTCCAACAGGCATTGAATGGCGTGCTGATTGCCAAGAAAAGAAGCCAAAAGCATGGGCGTTTCCCCGGAAACTGTCATCTGTTCTGTGTCAGCGCCAGCTTCCAGCAAGCAAGATGCAGCTTCCTGGCTGCCATTAATTACAGCGCCATGCAAAGGTGTGAAGTGCTCATCCTTGCTCGCCCTGTTTGTGTCAGCGCCTGCTTCCAGCAAACAGCACACAATCTCCATGTAGCTGCCATCAACAGCCCAATGCAAAGCTGTAAAGCCCTCATCATCGCAAGCGTCCGGATCCAAAGGACGCTCCAGACACTTCAAAACTATCCCAATATCGCCATTGCCAGCTGCCTGCAACAACCCTGCTGCACTCTCTGATTCGTATGGCCGAACTATGGCTACCAGTTCCACATCCATCCATGGGGTCTGTGGTCCCAACACGGCCTGCTTATGCGCCAAAACCAAGCGCCGGAAGTTGCGCAGCTGCATCCTTCGCGCCAGCTCACCACGCAACACGTCCACAAAGCTATGATTCTCGCGATCGGAATGCGACTTTTGAATTTCATCCCACAAGGCGAACTCATTCTGTGTCATGATATACTCACCACTGACCCTGCGAACGCATCCCATGGTCGCTTCGGATGGGAGAAGTTTCTCGCTCATCGAGCCAAGCTCCGAAGCCCAAAACGCATGAGGAAAGCTGGAGCTGAACACATGGGCTGTTCGATTTGCCCCAATGGTTTGCTTCCTTTTCTTCCATTAGATCCCCTGGAAAAATCGATCAACATGTAGTGATATATTCGCTTTAAAACCAACAGGGGAAGAATAGAAGATATTCATTTCAGCAGATGGAAGGTAGGGGTCCAAATCCCCAGACAACCCTGCGGAACAAATGGAAGTTTGGGATTCCGGCCCTTTCAAACCATCCAAAAAGGTGCTCACTATCTTGAGACGGACCATCCACGGAGCCGTCGCCCCACCTTCTCCCTGTGTGGAGAAGGATGACGTTGGATGAGTTGTTTAGAGTGCAAACGCCTTTTTCCAATAAAGACGTGACACCGAATAGATTAAGAAAAAAAATGAATAAATAACTGAACACATATGTACACATATATATATATATATATAATATACATCTAAAAAAGGAATTATAACTGAACGCATGTGTACATTATATATATATGTACATATATATTATATATATATAGTGTAGATTGCTGGCTTGCTCCGTTTCTCCACTGCCCCTTTAGAAAATTACGTCACACCTCCCGCACTCTGCATGTGAGGGGACATAGGGGTTTAGGAATTTGCGCGGCTCGTGGACGTTTGGGGGGTAACCCTTCTATGGTTTACAGGGAACCAGAAATTCAAATCACCGCGGCAGGTACTGAGGAAGGTCAGCTTGGACGCGCCTTCCCCAAATCTTGCATGGACCTCCCTGCCTGTTCCCAAAATTTACGGGCATCCGAGCGGCTTGCACGGGTGGGATCTAGACCCTGAGGTGACATCTGGCATGGGACCTGTCCAGCTCTGGGGGCAACAAATCTTACCTAGCCCGCCCCATTTCGTGATCAAGTGGGATGTGCCAACGACTTTCACTCCGCAGGGGTTGTTTTTTCCCTGTGTTTGTTTTATTCCAAACGCGGATTTGGAGCTGCAAAAATGGCCGTTTTTTTTTGCTGTGGGCTTCAAAAGGGAAACAACGAGTTGCCAAAAACGCAACACACACACACACACACACACACGCACGCGCGAAACGGTCATCTGGGTGTGGGTCAAAAGTGGGTACCCAAAAGGCCCAAGACTAACATCTGCGGCCCGGTGCTTTTTTCTGGCCGTGGGTCAAAATCACCCCCAGTGAACATCCCAATCCCCACTAAATCCCCCTCAATTCCAGTGAACATCCCGAAAGCCCCACTATAGTCACTACAGGTTCCCAAAATCCCCCTCACCCCCAGTGAACATCCCAATCCCCACTATAGGTTCGGTGAATTCAGCGAAATCCCACCATGGGATCCCGTTTTCACGGTTTTCACCACCGAGCCGCCATCTGCTGACCCCTCGACTCGACTCGAGAAAACCGAGCGAGCCTCGAGCGCTGGGCGGACTCAAAGGGCTCGCGGCCCGCGAGAACATGCTGCCTGCGGAGAAAGCGAAGGCGCCCACTTCCTTAACATTGGTATGGTAGCAAAAAGCTTTGTTTTTGGCAGCCCCCCAGTAAAAATGAACAGAACCAAAAAACCGGAAAAAAAGCAAAAAACAAAAAACATGCCAAGAACAGTGAAGTTAAGTGGCTCTCCACAAGAAAACCCACATTCAGCGTGCTTCTAGCATGTCCCAGTTTTTGTTGCATGGATTGCGGTTCGGATGATTGTTTTCCATTTGCTTAAAGGAGGCTGGTGAGCTTGCAATCAATTGGGTGCGGCGGGCTGCAATGCTTGTCCTAGTAGCTGATCGATTGATGGCAGTTCGCAAGCTCACACTGAAAGAATACAAGACCGGAATCTTCACCTCGGCTGCTCAAGGCTGGCCTGGCCGCCAATAAAAATCGGCAACTCGGCCGCAACCTTGAAACCGAATAGGCGTGCACGCCTTTTTTTTCTGAGGGTGCGCTTGAAAAGCCACACAAACTCTGGCTCTTGTCCGGCTTGATTGGCTTTGGCTTTTGCAAACCACAAACCTGGTGTCCGCGACTGGGGAGCCCCTGTCCGAATGCCACCCGAAACACCCCGGAGGAAGCGTTTCAAGCCTCCATCAGGCGACGGCCCAGGGTTCCATCAGGAGCCAAGGCCTGTCCCTCTGAGCCGAAAAAATGGAAAAACACCGAAGATGCTACAGGGTTCTCGTGTTTTGAGACAATCTGAGGTGGTTGGGTCTGACTGCTTCAACCTCAGCTTTTGCCAAGTAACCAGGCAAATGGAAACAAGGACTTAAACCTATAGTCCCTGGGGTTTAATTTTGGCACGTACCCATTTGGCCCTGGGCCATACTTCAACCTAAGAATGCTTAACACGTCAAAAGAGATCCCAACCCTCGCGCGCTGGAAGAGAGCCGACGCCTGAGTCAGGGAAAATGGATCCTTCTATTCAACAAGCAAAGGTTCTTGCGTAGGATTGTCTGAACTGGCATAAACCAACGACTCGAAACCAACATGTTTCTCTTTCAAAAATCAGCATCGAACCAGCCTCCCAACTCCACTTAGGATCAAAACCCTTCGGAATCCTTCCTCCTCTTAATTGAGTATGCGTCAAACCAGGGAACCCCCTGGCCCCCCACCCAAAAACTAAACAAAAATGGGGTTCCTCTTGGTTTCCTATGTAAACCAATCTGAGAGAACCGAGCCTGAAAATATCACAAACCCATCTGTCAGGAAGGTCATTAGGGCCACCTAAGGCGCAAGCTCAGGGGCCAAGGGGCCAAGGGCGCAGATGCCAACCAGGACTGGTGTTCCTGGGAGAGCACAATGCCTGAAGTCAACTTGATGATCTATATCCGTGGTTGGCGTTGGAAGGGGAGCAAAAATTTAAATCTTAGCAGCTAGGTGGGAATTTCCCACAATAAGCAAACATGTAAAATGTTTCCCAACACCAACCATGTATCCATATGACGCTGTAGCTCAAAAAACTGGAATACCAAGATGGCTTGCCCTGGTGGAACCATGGACCAACATCTGCGGTTCGGTTTTCCTGTTTAATTTTGAGCCACACCCATAGACTCTGTTCTACGATTGATCACTACACTCGCATGCCGAGAGATGAATTGCTTGGAGACCGGGACAGTTCACCTCGAAGCGTCTTCATCCATGCGATCCACGCCATGAGTTTCCAGCTCGGATGTCTTCCACCGCTTTGTACAATACTGGGTTGCTTTCTGCTCCCCTGCTAAAAGTTTAACTTTTAGTGGTTTAGTGGAAAACCCACTAGTTGGCAAAAAGTTAAAGTCCTAACATCCAAGCAACATACACCAAAGAATATATCTCGAGCACCTTAAGAAGCAGCTTGGGGGCTTTCAAATTGCCAAACAACCAGCAGGCAGCTTCCTTTTAATTGGTGGCTTGGTTTGGTGGTTTGGACGTTAGGGGCTACCTTCCCCATTTGGTTTCAAGGAACTGGGGTCCAAGTCTGGAAACGACCCTAGGCAGTTGCAGGGTTCAACTCTTGACGCTGCCCCCAGCTGCACCGCAGAGCGCCCAGCTGGTCTTTTCTGCGCCGGAAAGTCCTTTTGCCTCGGGAAGGTTGTCCTTGGACTACCTGCGGCAAACATACATGCGGTGCAAGGAAGAGAAACAAGAGAGAGAGAGAGAGAGAGAGAGAGAGAGAGAGAGAGAGAGAGAGAGAGAGAGAGAGAGAGACAGAGAGAGAGAGAGAGAGAGAGGGAGAGGGAGAGGGAGAACAAAAAGAAGCAACAAAAACAAGAGACGAACAAAGAGGACTATGTACCAAAAAAGACACAAGGGACAAGCTAGAAGAAACAAGATAAAATAGACAAGCGACGAGAGAAAGAACAAAGGACAAGACACAAAGGACAAGAAAGACAAAAGAAGAAGGAAGACAGAAGAGAGAAGAGAGAAGAGAGAAGAGAGAAGAGAGAAGAAGGAAGACAGAAGAGAGAAGAGGCAAGAGAGAAGAGAGAAGAGAGATGAGACAAGAGAGAAGAGAGAAAAGAGAAAGGAGAAGAGAGAAAGGAGAAACATCAGAGAGAAGAGAGAAGAGAAAAAATAACAGATAAGGAAGAAGAGAAAAGAGAGAAGAGAAAAGAAAGAAGAGATAATAGAAAAGAAAGAAGAAAGAAGAGGAAAAGAGAGAAGCAGAAACATAAGAATGGGTTCCTGGGGTACTTCAAACTCAAGTTGAGTCATGCTCATAGTGGCAGCATGTTACTGGCAATTAGTTGGCCGGAGGGGCGTCTTCCCCATTCTGAACGCAGGGATCCGATTCTGTCCGGTCAAACAATAAGAAAAAACAGGGACACGGCTTGTGTTTGAGAAATCCGATGTGGCAGCCCACATAAAGCGTGGAAAAGCACTTGGTGATTGAAAATAATGATGGGTATTTGAAAAGAACAATGGTTGAATAGAATGGGAAATCAACCCCGTAGACGCCCCCCACTCCACCCCAGATTGATAAACCTGGTGGATTAGCAAGTGGATTCATATACTGTACTTCCGCCGCTCATATATGTGTGTGTGTGTGTGTGTTTGTGTGTGTGTTTTGGAGGGCACCTTTCTTTGGCTTGTTTAAATGGAATTCCAAGCAAAACCACCACTCCGGGAATTCCCGTTTGGCTTGTCTCTAACCCCCCCCCCCCCCCGCAAAAATCAAGTAGTTCCTTTGAGATAAACACAAAAGAAACAATCCCTTTGGTATATATGTTCCAGGCCGTGGACCCCCCCCCCCTCCCCCCCCCAACCCCCCCCCCCCCTGTGGGGGTGGGGTGGGTGGTGGGGTGGTGGGGTTGGGTGGTTGGGTGGTTGGGGTGTGGTTCGGAGTTGGTTTAGGCTTGGTGGGTTGGTTTAGGGTTGGTTCAGGGTTGGTTCAGGGTTGGTTTGCGGTGGGTTTCGGGTGGGTTTGGGGTTTGGGTTGATTTAGGCTTAGGGTTGGGGTAAAGGAGGGGTTGCAGGGTGGTTTGGTTTAGGGTAGGATGTTGCGAGAGGTGCGGGGGTGTTGGTTCACGGGGTGAAAGGGGGAGTCTAGGGCTCGACAGCATCCCCAGCATCCCCAGCATTGCCAGCATCATCCCCAAGATGCGGATGATGCGGGGGAGTGGGGGGACCATACCATTGGGGGGGGGGGGGTACGTGGCCCAGGGACTGGTACATATATACAACAAGGAAGAAACATGGGTAGCCTCAAAAACGAAACGGAACCACACCCAACCCTCTAGGGGTACCTTCCCCATTCTTTCCAGGCAGCCTTCTTTCCAAAAAACCACCGAGAATCGTGGGGAAACGGCGATCGGTTTTTGAAAAGAACGATGGTTGAAAATAATAAACAAGGAATCAACCCCTAGAAGAGTACCCACCAACTGTTGTTGCTTGCCTTGGCTTCCCTTTGCAAAAACGCCGCCCTTGAAAACAAAAAACGACACGCCGCTAGAAACCCAACCCAACCCAACACCGACTTTTCCGCCCGACCGCTTCACCGCTTCACCGCCTGGCCAGCAGAGCCTTGGCGCTCTCCAGGCGGCTGATCTGCGTCTGCCGGGCCTCCTTACTCCCCTGGCCGGCGACGGCTTTCGCGCTTGGGGGCAGCTCAAATATCGCCACGTTTCTCGAAATCCGGGCCCCTTGGTACCCCCCTCCAACTAACATAGCACCAGATATGGCGCAGAGATGGAACAAAGATGGCTGTGGTTGTCAAAAACGTTTTGGGATCCCATTTTGGTTGGTAGGTGAATTCACCACCCATTTTAGAACCTATTTTAGTGGGGATTGGGATGTTCGCTGGGGGACGGGTGTTTGACCCACAGCCACTCTCCACATGCGGGCCCCTTGGTATCCCTGGGCGGCGCGCTGCAAAAGCTGGCAGGGCCACGTGTTTGACCACCCCCTGCTGGTTTAAAGATGTTCAAACCGTTCTGGGAAGCATGTAACACCTAGAGGTGCGAGTCCTTGCCTGCTATAGTGGGGTGAAGATGTTTAGGCACGCTTTCAAAAGGGAACAGGGAAGCCCACACCTGAAACCAGTGCTTAAACATGCTCATCTGCGGTTCACTTCTTGAGGACTGTATGGCCTGGTTCTTTAAAGCAGCTTTTGCGCGACCCCGTGGGGCTGACATTGGAGTTCTCCTAAAACTCTGACAACCGCCGTCTTGCAGATGCTCTGATAGGAAAGCATATGGGTGGCTCTTCTTGCTTTGGAGTTGGCACCCCGGTCTTTCGTGGCTTTAAAGGGCAGCATGAGCAACAAGATATTGCAACCCAGTGGCCCGCAATCTGGAAGGCACCACACCAAGCGTGTGACACGTGCCGGCTGATTCACATGGACATGCACCGAAGGTGGAAACCACTCAAAACGGAGGCCATCATTACAATGTCAATGGGCGTTGCGGCCCAACGAAAGCTCTGACTTCCATCGACTTGTGCTTGCGCCTTGCCCACGCCTGCCCCCGTACGTGGCCCTCGGTTGCACTTATATAGCCGGCATAAGACCAATGGGGAACCGTAGAGACTGTCCTGACCCATGTTGCCTGATCGTGCCAGTCCGCCCAACTTATTAGTATTCGGATTGTTCCTGGGGCCAGATTCCTCGACTCTCTGGACAAATGCTGATGCACTTCACGCGTAGAGTTCCAAAGCCAAAGTGTCGCATCACGTGGAGCTACCTGGTAGAGGCTTCATGGAATCTGAATCTTGCTCTCTTTCCCACAAACCTGGAACCTTGGTTGCTTTCTGCTCCCCTTCTGAAAGTTTAACTTTTGTTGGTTCAAATGCGGAAAACCCATTCGTTGGCAACAAGTGAAAGTCCTAACATCCAAGCAAAATGCACCAAAGGAACTGAGTTCCGAAAGCTTCAGCCTTACCCCTCCGACCCTTAGCCTTGGGTGCTTTCACCGTCTGCCTCATGGCTCTTGAGAATCTCGCAGTCTCCCATCAAGGCCTCACTTCGACCGCGGAAAACTCTCTGCTTCGACCAAAAAGGCAACCACACCGATCCGTGCAACCAGGAACAAATCCTCCAAAGCCGCGAACTGTGGACCAGCAGGTCACCTTTACAAGACTTGAGATAAAACATAAACTCAAATGTTTGGGGTGGTTAAATCTGGGAATCGGGGAAATAGCTTGCAGGAAACTGAGACAAAATGTAATGGTCCAAAGGCAGGCTTGATGGAACAAGAAGATGTTGTGGAGGTCCTGACAAATTCTCTCAAAATGCCTGGAACGTCCATCATCGTCTCCTTCTCATCCTCATCCTCATCCTCATCATAGTCATCATAGTCATCATAGTCATAGTCATCATCATCATCATCATCATCATCATCATCATCATCATCATCATCATCATCATCATCATCATCATCATCATCATCACCATCATCATCATCATCATCATCATCATCATCGTCCTCCGTCTCATCCTAATCCTCATTCTCCTCATCATCTTCATCCTCATCCTCATGCAGGCTCTCCCCAACCTCCTCCTCATGCATCAGCATCGGCAAGCTCGTCTTAGCGGCAGGCTCTCGCTCGAGAGGAGAGATGGCAGTCACTGAGGCAGAAACCAACAAGTACTGCTTCATGTTGGCCTGGCCATCCGCATTGGTCTGCTTCTTCCTCGGCCCACGATCGACTAGTTTGTGGGCATCGGCACAGTTTTTTGCTTCCCCGGCCACCTTAAAATTTGGTGCAACATTTTCACAATCTGAGCGGCCATAAATTCTTGGTGGGCGCACTCCATCCTGATTGTGTTACAGCTTTCGTGGCTCACGTTGTGGTGGGTGCGTTGTTTTGGTTGCCTGCCGTCAGACAAAGAGGTCGCTCAAGCCCACCTTGGGGCGTCTCGAATTTTTGCATATGCACTTGGTTTCAAGAGAAACCAAACTTTTCACCCCGTTTTTGGGGTACCCGCTAGTACCCGCATGACACAAATTGGGTGTCTTTCAAAATCTTTCAAAGAGAAATCCGGACCCCAAGAATGGTTCGCGGTTCTCTGGTTGGTTCCCCAATACCAAAATCCAAGCCCGAGTTGTCGGGGGCCACTGCAGCCACCCATTTTGGGTGTCTGGTTTTCAGGGGGGTACCCGGGGTACCCCTTGTTTGGTGGTTTGAACGGGAAACCAAAGGGAAACCACTTTTTTTCCAGGGGTCCCTGAAAGAAAAAGACGAGCCGGCACCAGTTTGGGGAGTTTTTTCCCCCCAGCTCCAAGGCCCAGTCATCTCAATGCCCTGCAAGCGCTTGGCCAGCCCTGCGCGCACCTGAACCGAAGCGTCCGAGGCCCACAAAAAGTGAGTCCGTAAAGCCTTTGGGTGAGTGGTTGGAATCCTTTGGGTGGTTCAGAAGGGAGACCAGGGAGGCTTCCCATGACTATCACGAAAAGGAAGACCACAGGGGAAGCCGGGCGCCTTACTTTGAGACATGCAGTTGTTTTTTTCGCCCCATGGAACCAAATGAGAAAATATGCCTAGTGAAATCGATTCCCTTTAACACCAGGAAAACATGTAAACATATAACATATTCGTTTCAGCAATTGGAAGATAAAGCAGGGCCGAAATCGGTGTGGATTCGTCTTGTTGTTCTGTAAACAAATGCACACACGCACACACGCGCACACGCGCACACGCGCACACGCGCACACGCGCACACGCGCACACGCACACACGCACACACACGCACACGCGCACACGCGCACACGCACACACGCACACACGCGCACACGCGCACACGCGCACACGCACACACGCACGCACGCACGCACGCGCACGCACACACACACACACACACACACACACACACACACACACACACACACACACACACACACACACACACACACACACGCACGCTGCACGCGCGCGCACACGCACACGCGCACGCGCACGCGCACGCGCACGCACGCGCACGCACGCACGCACGCACGCACGCACGCACGCACGCACGCACGCACGCACGCACGCACGCACACACGCACGCACGCACGCACGCACGCACGCACGCGCACGCGCACGCACGCACGCACGCACGCACGCACGCACGCACGCACGCACGCACGCACTCACACACACACACACACACATCCCCTTGTTGTGGCTTCCGTGTTTACAAAACATGGGTAACATGGCAGATTTGGTGTGGATTCGGTTTTTGTACGCACGCATCCCCTTTTCGCTTCCTTTTCCACAAGACATGGGAGATTTGAGGTGTTCACCAGGGGGTCTGGACAAGGTAACAAAACCCCATCCCCTTTTAGTTTCCTGTGGGGGAACTTACAAAGTTATGAGCTGTTTAGCACCAGGACAAGGACTTGGGAGCACCTATGTGTGGCTTCACGGGAAAGCCCGGCTAAAACAGCCTGGGGTACGAGCAAGTTGAGAAACATCTGCGTCGTAAATCTGAAGTCGAACCAGCCCCCGCAACTATCTGCCACACCGCCCAGTGCAAAACAATGCGGAATAGAACAGCGTAATGTCTGAAGTGACGAAGCGTCGGGCCTTGAGATAGCCACATTTTGTGAGTTTCTCAAAACGGGATTCGGGCCTGCTTTTGGTTTCCTGTACGCAGGTTTTAGTTCATGTTTCCATTTACCACAACCCATTTTGGGGTTCCCGAATTTTGGACCGGACACCCAAATAGATTACTTGGCAAAAGCTTGAAGCAGTCAAAGCTTGCTACCACTACCACTCAACCAGGATTGTCTCAAAATACGGGGAACCCCGTAGCCTCTTCGGTGTTTCTCCATTTCGGGGTTATCAACTACAACTCTTTACCAAGAGTTGCGGCACCTATGGTTGGGATTCTCCCTTGCTAACCTTCACTTACCCCACTTTTACTTGTGGCTATGGCATCTGTCCACTGAAATTCTCGGATCAGTTCACCACGTGGCTTCGCTGAGCCTTGAAGCCTTCACCCCGAGCGAGGGGCCGAGCCCTGGGGTCCCTGGCCCCCGACTGCTCTGCGAGGCTGCGGGTGGCCACCTGCCGCGCCTCTTGGGCGTCCTGGCGATGCGAATGAGTGCGCGCAGGGCTGGTTCTAATGTGTCTTTCGATGTATTGCTACTTGTATTATTGCGTATTATTATATCATGCTATATTAGATTGAACTAATTTGTATGATATTGTACATCACAATATACTTCATATGTATATTGATATGTTGTATACATAAATAGATAAATAGAAAAATGTGTATATGCATATACACACCTATATATATATATATATACGCCTATATATATATATAGTACTCACAAAGAAACAACACATTTTGGGAGGATTCCTGTACGGCATTGGTGAGGTTTTTCTGAGGCAAGATGGTTCCATCTCTGGTTTCTGAGTACCCGCGGACGTTCTGAACGAGGGGGGTGCTCTTGAGGGACACCAGGAAGCCGCCTAATGGGGGGGGGGGTGAATTCTGGCCTAAGCCCCTTGTGAGGCATTGGGGTTCCAACCCGCCTTCCCAAAACAACAGGCCAATCATCTTGTCAGCTCAAATGTAGTCTTTCCTGTTGGTCTCCGTTGGCTTTCCTTGAAACACCGAGAGAAAAGACGGAAAATAAAAAACACAGAAACCAAAAAACGGGCACCCTCAAAGAGACCCAGCCGGGCCCCTTCAAGGCGTCCCGTTCCATCGCGTGCGCATCGCGTGAGGCGCCGCGCGGCACCGGCCTTGCTGCTTCGCACGTAGGAGGCCTGGGCGTCCTTCTCCTGCTTCTCCAAGGCCTCGCGACGCGAGCGCCTCGCGCCTTTTTTGTTCCTCGAGAGTCGACGGAGGTGTCCTTTTGGACACATGGATGGCGCAGGCTTCAGTCTGGTTTTAATGAGATGGTAAGCTTTTTCTCCCCCCATCCAGACCGAAACCAGCGGCATCTAATGATCAAGCAAGCTGACCTAAAAGGACACCTACTTTGTGTCGAAAGCCCTCCGAGTGGTTTCCCTTTGATCCTTTCAGCACCAACCAAAAAGGGATTCCTCACATAGGTGACCTTGTGGAAAAATAGATTGCGCTGGAAAATGGAGTAAAGCCAATCAAAACCAGTGCCATCAGTGTATAATCTAGCTAACCTAAAAAGGACACACATGATTCCTCTTTTTGCCTACAGCCCCATGGCCAGTCATTCAGGACATCCCACAACACAGAACTCGCTGGTAGAACTCGCTGGCTCGTGGGTCAGTTCCTACCAACACAACCAAGCAACAACCAATCAAACAACCAAGGAGACAAGACACTGAGAAGTTATTCCATGCTTCCAGTTGCTACTTGACCAGGAAACAAGGATGCGCACAGGCAAGTGCGCTTTTGCTCCCGCTGATAGGAAGCATGCGGCTTTGGTCTGAGTTTAGGCCTATGCTTTGGTCAACCGGTGCAGGGATCATGCTCTGTTTCGAGCTTTCCGGTCGGTTTCGTTTGCGGGTTACGGATAGCGGTTCATGGCTGGCTTTATGGCTAACTGGAGCGCAAGCGACTAGCCCCAGCTGAAAGTTGTAGGCGTGCGTGTCAAAAGCCACAAGATGGCCCTCGCTGGTTTCTATCCCTGCAAACGAATGCCACGAATGTGAACGACTCATGGCTCACCTGGATGCATCCACCAACACTTCCTTGAAGTATGCTGCAAACACAGCTCAGAATGAAGCCCTTCCTCCCAAAATGGATGTGTTTCCATTCTGCCAATGGAATGTGACAAACGGCGACGGTTGCCATGGAATGGTGATGAATCGGATTCAGAATCACCATGTTACCTTCCTCACCAATGGATGTGACAAACGCGACGGCGATTCTGAATCTTGTGGCACATCACTTGCAGCATCTCTCAAATGATCAGTGGCCATGGGAAAAAAGGGCATCTTTTCTTGGTTTGTTGACTTTAAAGGGGAATCTTCCCCAAAAAAAATAAGTTGAACAAAGGCACCACTGGGCAACTGAGAAATGTATCTGCTTCTTTGCAATATCTGACTTTTACATCGAGGTCAGATCCGCTAGTTGTGTTCATCCCTGTCGCAACATGTGTCAAAATCAAGTACAACCTGCAAACCCCCCAACCAACCCCCACACCCACCCCAAACCCACCCCCCCAACGCACCCCCCAAACCCACCCCCCAAACCCAACCCAAACCCACCCCAAACCCACCCCAAACCCCCCTGACCCCCAAAAACCAGCACGGCATTCCACGAACCGAATCTGTGCCTTTTGATCTGCAGCCAAGTCTTTGACCTTCGGAACGGCGATTTTTTGGGCGCTTCTCTTTCAGCTCTGGAGATACATGGCTCCAGCCGAACAACCTGATCGTCAGAAAGTCAAAATCGCTGAAAATGAGAAGCCATGAAAGGCTTGATGGCGATCGTCTGCCCAAAACCTTTGATTTGTTTCAGTTTCCCAGTGATTGGTTTGGATTGGTGGTCTGGTGATTACGGGGAGGTTTGCCATTCATCCTCTACAAAAGCCAGGGGTTCACATCCCAGTTCCCACCAACCCGAACCACCAATTCGGGATTACTTGATTGCTGCATGTTGGTGGGACAATATGATTCTCCACAAAAAGCTATATATATATATATAATGTATGTAAATATACATCTACATATATATATATATATGTTCCAACCCAATAGCATTGAAGGCTCGAGCGGATGCCTGTGGGGCTACACCTGTTTCGTCATTGGCCAGCAACGGCTGCCCTCTTCTGCGTGGAGATGGAACAAAAGGAATGCCGATCTTAGAGTCTGACATGGGTGCGCGTAAAAATCGGAGGACCCCGCAAAGAGCGCGATTTCCTTTGGTAACACGCTTTGATGAAACACAGTGCAAATGTGCTTGACAGTACACTGAAATCCTACCTACAATCGCAGTTTAAAACATGCCAAGTCCTGCAGTGGTATTCAACCAATGTGGAAAGCAGGCTGAACATGTCCCTCATGCATCCCGGGTCGGGGAAATCCTCGCAGCTGTCCCTTGGAAAAAAAAAAAAACGGAGCCCTAGGATCGTACTGAAGCTTCGCGAGTCGCTGAATAAGAGCATTACTTCATGACCCTATGGCTAGGGATCTGATTTCGAGCGGCTGAATTGCACGAACCCCATGACTTAGGATCTCATACGCTTGGAAAGATTCCCGAAGGCATAGCTATTTTCGCAGCTCAGCACAAAAACTTGATATTGTGAGTTGAAAAGCAGAGAAGCTTAGATGGCAACGGCTCCAACTTGCAACCTGACATGTGAGTTGAACGGAGGCATCCGCGAACCCGCACGTAAACTCAGGAACCGAGTTCCTGAAGCAAGGTTACATTGGCAGCCAAGAACCTGTTGCATCGCAAGTTTGCAGCGTATGCAACTCATGCAAAGGTTGCGCACATGTCAGGTTCTGGTAGAGCATGCATCTCACAAATATGTCTAAGGGGCGCGTTCAAAGGCTGGACCCCTTTCACACCCATACTTTGTGAGGGGCCAAAGCAATGCGACCGCTTCAGGGCGATCTCACTTGTTTCACTAGCCTTGCAATAAATTAACTGGTGTTTTGGAGTGAGCGCCTTATGTGTGGACTGGCGGCCTCCTTTCGCTTGGCCACCCCACGATGCGGTCCAGCATTTCAATCACCACATGCCCGGACTGCTTCTGGTAGCTGCCAAAGCCCTGGCAAGTCTGCATTGCCCTTCTTTAGCTGAGGACCAGTCCGTCAAATGGGCGGGCGTCTTGTTTTGGGGCACCTCCCCAAATGAGTGGTACCTTCAAAAAAGGAGACACACACAAATATCTGTCCTGATTTGTAACTCTTCATAGGTATCCTCCTGATTTGTAACTCTTCATAGGTATTCATGGAAAAAGAATCCTGAACCCATCAGATCCCCACTGAACGCACTGTTTGGATGCGCTCCATGGCCCCATGCCACACCTGAGAGACTCAGAGTCTGTAGCACCCTCCCGCCAATTGACCTGGAACCTGACAGGAAAAGAGTCCCTTTAAAAGGAGAATGGTTGCCAGGACCTTCATGATTGTCAGGTTCCATGTCAATTGGTGGCAGGGTACTAGCAGTGACTCTTTCAGGTAAACAAAGGTGACTCAATGCCATGAATGAAGGTACTGTGGCATGCTTAAGCAACAACAGGGGTTTGTGCTTCTGGGGAAAACCCTCTTTTGCATGGTCTTAAGATGACCGCTGTTCTGGCCACCGCAGCCATTTTGGGGGATTTTTGGGGGTAATCCCGGGGGCTCGGCACCTCCAAGTGAAGACATGCATAGGGCCCATTGGGCTGCCCAATGGGCAGAACCGGGTCGGGGAAAACCGCAGATCACCCGTCCCGGGTGAACTTTTGCCAGGCGATTTCTACCAAAAACGACGCCTACTTGGATTTTCTGGAAGGAATCGCTGGATGGTTAGTAACCCTGGTAACCCACTTACCATGGTTGTAGGCCCCCCACCAGGGTTTCTAAGCATTTAGCCAAGTGCTAGTAGCAGACTATCTAAGTATGCCCATCCCCTTTCTCAGCTTCCCTCCAATTGGTGGTTTGGAGCTCGGTGGTTTGGTGGTGAAACGGAGAGGTTTCCCATTTACCCGCTACAAAAGCCAGAGCTTCAAATCCAAATCCAGCTCCTAATCCAAAGCACCAAAGGGATACCTGACTTCCCACCAGGTCCCACCAATCCAGTTCCCACCAATCCAGTTCCCACCAATCCAATCCAGATCCAATCCAAACCACCAACTAAGGCATACGGAACATGGGGAATCCGGGATATTCGGACACCTATGAATTGGGTATTCTTGTTCAAGCTCCCGGTTGAAACACCGGCCAAACGGACCACCAAACTTTCGGCAGCCCTCAGGGCGAGGTTTTTCCCGGCGAAGAAAACCCCGCGCTGCGCGCCCCGGATGCGCATGAAGGAGTTCCCGCCTGCGGATCGGCCGCCTGGCGCCACATTGGTCGGATCCAGACAAGAGCCATGCATGTATAACGTGTGTATATATAGTTATATAATATATATTGACAAACATATATATATATATGCGTGTGCGTATAAATGTAATATACATATATATATATATATATATATATATGTATGTGTATACATGTAATGCATGATATACATATATATATATAATGGATGTTTCCTTTAAAGGGAAAATCCAAAGATACCAAGCTTTTTGCTTGGGTGGGGTCCCCTATTTTTCTAAAACAACAACCTGTGTATATATAGATACACAAAATGTATCAGCTCAACCCTGCAAGGCTTGGATCCATCAAATCCAACGGGGCAATCCATCTCTGGTCCGACTTTCTGGGGGGCATGCAGCGCGTTGGCGGCCCGGTGGTCCAACACCCCCCACCAGATGGAGGTGAGTCCATGAAGTAAGAGACGGCCTCGAAAGCCAGCTTTCAATGGAGCAAACACTTTTTCACCTGGGTCCTCCAGAGAGGTTGGAATAAGTTGGTACCGCTTCCTTTTTTCTGGCTTGTCTATTTTAGTGGGGGAACCGAATCTCCCCCAAAACAAGGGCAAAAGGGCGAGACAAACCATGGGTCCTGCGCCTTGTTCCTGGGCCCCTGAAGATGTTCTGGCTCATAGACGGCTTGTGGTGCAATCAGCAGGACCCGTTCTGATATTGAACACAATTTGGTTGTCGTTGGGCGTGCATTTACGATTTGCTGCTTTTGTGGCTTCAGTTATGCTGCATCAAAACCAAAGACTTCCACGAACAGCGGGCTTTCATGTCGGGTCCATCTGTAGCACTAGTCCAAAAGGTCCCCAGTTTTGAGAGCCACGACTGACTTTCTGACGGAGCCATGAGCTTCCGCTAAATCCCGCTGAGTCAATGGTTGCTTGCTTCAAAGTTGAACCATTCGGGACTTGAACCCTTTCAGATGGCCCGAACAAGAAGGTGCCTCGGGAAAACGCAATAAGTATAAAGCCAAATGAAGGATTTGTTCACTCGCATCTTCGGCAGCTCAGTATGTCTTACGAGGCATGTTTCCCTACAAGTGCGTCTTCATTCCCTATGCCTCGGAGTGGATCATATCAGGTATGTTCCCCTGTGATCAGGGAACATGAGACTTGTTTCTTTTTAAAAAAAAATGAAAGATTGAGAGGTCTCTCCCGTTTTTGTGGATACGGGTGTGTCTCAAAATAGGAGACCCACTGTTTGGATGGTTTTGAAAGGGGATCAAAAGGAAATCACCTATGTGGAGGGGTCCCCAACTCTTAGAAACACCCATATTGTTGTGGCCCGCCCCCCTGTCCTTCCCAAACTGAGTAAGACACCTACCAGCAATATTTTGTCAGCTGTTCAGACCAACTTGTGCCTCGAAATTTCGAGGCGGTTTCCTGGTGGCTTCCCTTCAAAAACACCCAAGGAAGCCGCGCCAAAGAAGTTGCGCGGCGCGGGAGCTTCTGGCACTGGCCTGGGAGCTCTCGTGGGCCACCTCGAAGCCTGCAGAAGAGAGCTCTGCGTCGTTCTTGCAGGTACCAAGGTGGTGGCTAAGGCAAACTACAAGGAAGACACCATGTGGGCCGGAAAACAAACCCGGGGACAACCCTGGTAACATTTTTTACCTGGTATCTTTTCGACCCATGTTGGCTGTCTTAAAACCACAAGGGTAGAGGACAACGACAAGGAGAACCACCATGTTGGTTGTTTTGTTTTGCTTTTTGGAGGCCTGCTGGGACATGTTTTCTTGTCCCGTTGCGGTCTTTTCAATAATCACGGGAGTGGACGTTTTGGGGCTTCCCCAAAAGAAAAGGAGTCTTCCGAAGCCGAAATCCCCCTGACGGCTTCCATGATTGTTGGAGGGTATATGGGAAAAGGAATATATATATATACCGATGCTAGCGGGTCACCAAGACAAGCGAGTGATCCAAAGTTCCCTCTAAGAGCAACCACCCCCCATCAACCATGCGGGCTTTTCTCCAAAGGGAACCCGCGACGTGGTTGATTGCCTTTAGGTTTCCCTCAAACCAAACGGCTGCCAGAAAAATCACACGCCGTGTCCTCAATTGGATGTAGGTCAACAATAGATACCCCTGGTAAATGGAAACAAGGACGAAGATCTGCGGTCCCCTGGTGGCTTATTTTTGACCCATCCCAGTTGGTTCCTTCTGAACATTAAGATCGGAAAGCCCGAAACATGGCGCGGTCTATCAAGGCGTTCCCAACTTGAACGAAGCCGGCAGAGTCACAACGGAGCCTTCATAGGCGTGTGATCCTTGGAAAAATGTCAGCGGCATGGCCACCCTACTTCCATGCACTTCGCCTCACTTCCCAGGTTGAGAACAGCTGACGTGGGCGAAACCTACTGACCACCCGGAAAGGCAGACTCCTGGAAAACATAGGCCAATGCACATGCCCCGCGCAGTGAGTGAACTGCAAGGGTCTTTCACCGACTTGCCACATACAGTGCTTCGAAGGAAGCGCTGGTCCGAAAATTGAGTTGCCGAAAACTCCGTTCAGCATTGGCGATGCGAGTAGAAAAGCCATGCTCAAAGTATGAGGCTACCCGTGATCATATACAAAATAGTGAGTCCCCCTCCCCATGCACTTTCGAGGGTGAGTGCTTGATCTTATCTTTTTTTACTTGCGAGTCTTGCGAAAATGACCTGGCCAATTCCAACATGCACTTGGGCGTGTATCAAAATAGGGGGACCGCCAGAATAATGGATGTCTGTTCGGCGTCCCTTTCAAGCTACCCGTAAAAGATATACACACCCCTCTCACAGGAATTCGCCGATTCACGCATCCTCGCACTTATGCGAAGCTGGGGTCAACTGCAGATTTTTCGCCAATCAGGCATCCCCAAACCCTACACAAACCCCAATCTGCCTAAAGCCTTCAGGCCCTTTTCCCCGCCATCCGGACCTCCCCCAATCCCAATCAACATGGAATCGCTCGACATGCGCGTCCCAAATCGGTCCTGGTTTGGGCCATTTTTCCTTGTCAACGGACCCCCGAACGTCAGGTTCCACGTGACTTGTTGGGAGGCTAAAGGTTCCAAACATCTCTCAATGCCCCACGCCCACAAACCCACCTGCAATGGTTCGCGTGGCTGCACGAACCCGCTCCAGCAGGCGACGCCGAGCCTTGCGGGCCCCCGTGAGTGCGCCAAACTCGGAAATATCAGAGCTGCTGTTCGTGAAAGCTCAAAGAAGCCTCATCTTGAGATCAACGCGTCGACTGACTGCATGAAATGCAGGACTCCCAACTCCGAAACGACAGTGTATACAGGATCGTTCGAGCTTGTGTCTGCGTCCTTGGTTTGTAGGATGCAGGTTGTCGACGTGTCGACGGGGCTGTGGACACAGACGCGCGGCTAATTGGCTCTGTTGTCAGTGTCGGAAGTTAGGGCCTTGATGCGGAACCCAATGGGGTTCGACAGATCTTGCTGCGTATAAGCCCTGGCGGGGAAGGGGCTTGCTTGCAAAACAGCTGCAATCAAAGGGCGCCGTCTGGCATTGAGGCTCCTGTCTGTCCTGTCCGGATTTGAGCTGAAGCAACGATTCCGGGTCACAAGAAAGGTCCTCCGCCGCAATAAATGAGATCGCAGCGAGGCCCACCATTTGACCCATGCCTACCACTACGTGCAGACAAAGTCGGTCGAGAAAAAAAAATAAAGCAGCACAATAAGTCCGTGCAACACCGCATTTCAAGCCCACGCGCAGCGCGGTCAGGACGCATCCCACAGGCGGGGTCTGGGCATTGCCCTGGGGTTCAGTTGGCTTCGAAGCCCAAAAGCCCAAAAGACGTCATAGACACTGGAAGCTTTGGTCCTAGCCCTTGTCAGGAACTCAGATGCCCAGTAACCTTCCCTGCGAAGCAAAGGGCATCCGATTTGTTTTGGTTGGTTGAGGTTAAAGGAATTGGAACCCTTCCCCAAAACTTGGTTGACGTTGGAAGGGGAGCAAACATTTAAGAATTTTAGCAGTTCAGTGGTTGGATTTCAACCACTAAACCACCATAAGCAAAAAGTTAAAATGCTTCTCAACAACGACCATGAACCCCAAGAAAGTGACCCTAAAGCCGTAGTTCGGCGAGTTGAAAAAAAGTTGACACAAGGGTGCCGCTGGGCCGCCGGGGGAACGCAATGGGGCCCGCGCCAGCAAAGATGCCTTGGGCGCCTTGGACTCGTAGAAGCGCCGGAGCCTCTCCTGAAATCGGGGGCCATCCGTAACCCAACAAAGGGTTTATCAACTCACAAAAAGGGAAAAAGGGGGAAAAATGCCAAACAGCCGGTTCAGTGACCCTGGAAAAAAAGGGAACCCTTTTTGGGGAAGACCATTTTTTGACCAGCCGCCCAAAATAAAAGGGAAAAAAAAGGGTGGTCTTCACGTTGAAAACCGGTGATTCCAACTGTTGAAAAACCGCTGGTGGTGAAAGGAAACATGTAATAAGTTCAAGGCGGTTTCTCGTTTTTGGGCTTTCGGGCAGGTTGTGATATCTCTGATGCCTTTGGGAATGTCTTTGGTGGTTTCTCTTGCTCAAATAACACATGTCAGCAGTCGGAACCCCGTGGCCACCAAAACGAACCGAATGTCTCCTTGGCGCGCTCCAGGAGCGCTGAGGCGCGGTCGTTGGTTGCCAGGGCCTCCAAAGTCGGTGGGTTCCGTCGGAGGTCAAAAGATGGCAGGGAAGTCGCTCACGTCTTCAGTTCTACCTTGGAACATGCTGTTCAGGCAACAGCGAAACCAAAAGGACATCGCACAGTTTAAGGGGGGCCTCTTGAAGACAACTCTCTGGCGTGAGAAGCTTGCTGGCGCATTCTTCTCCCTGGCCCTGCCGATACATCGCGGGTTTATTGGCATATAGTCCAAATAGGTTCTTGATTCAAGTACTGAAGCGTGAGTTTGATCGTCTGGACAGACAGTAACACAAGCCCAGCGCTTCAAAAAGCAATTCTCAATGGTAAGAATACTCTCCAGACATCTACAAGATGTTCTTATGATATGCTAAACTAAACAACCCCAAGCCATTGAGTCAAACGATGAAAATCCATCCGCTGTTTTCCTCCATGGCCCCATATGTTGGGCCTGGGGTGCTGGTTTCGTCCGCAAGAAATTCATCGACTCGGAAACTTGCGCAGTTGTTGGTTGGATTCAAATAGATGAACATCGAACCAAGCCGAACACCAGCAGAATCGCAGAATGCACCGGTTGCTTCAATCAAGCCCGAAAATGGCCGTGGAATCCACGGCTAGTTTCAATCCAACCGACCCGAAAAAGGCCCCGCACACCCCTCACAGCTCCAAAGACTCCAGAGAACATATGGCTGATGGGAAACCGAAGGAACCACGACCAATATTCTCCGGGAGGTTCGGAGCAACCACGTCCCGCCTCCTTGTACTCCGCGTTCTCTTTCTGGCGCTGCTGGGTGTTTTTGTCCATCTGCTCGTCCAGGTCCTCGCCCAAAAAGACCAAAACGGACATTCTGAAAAACAAACTCCCAGTGGCTCATCGTTTGTTTTAACCCCCAAATTAAAGACCCGGAAATGGCGGACCTTCGGGGACGAGTACCATAACAAACCAAAGTATTTCAAACGGAACTTGGGGCGGCTTGATCCAAAAGGGGGAAAAACGACCTTCAAATCCGGAGTCAAGCTAAACACTGTTCTGATTCCGGTTCATATTTGGTCTACCCCCGAGTCCTCTGAAATGGCGGGTGTTGGGGGGTTCCATGTTCCGGAGCCCTTCCCGGCCCGCCTGGATGCTTTTGGTCAGGCCGGCCACCTCCTGCGATCCAACTTCGGCGGAGAGAAAGAAACGCGGATGCCGAAGAAGGGAAATGGGTGCCTTCGTTCTGCAGGAATCGGACCCTACAACATGGTGTGGCGGTCCTTTTAAGGCTTTCCTTGAAAAGAACACACAAAAAACGGGTTGATGTAGATGGTAGCTTGCTCTGTGAAAGGCCTGGGGTCCAGAAATGGGCTGAAATGAGTTCAGATCTCCAAGCAACTGTTGCAAATGTGTCCTAATCTCACGGACCCCCACCCCAAAAAAAAGAAAAGGAAAGAAAGAAGCCTGTTGTTTCAAGGGAAGTGTTTTGGCCCATGGGGGTCTCGGCAGTTGATGCATGACACGGAACACAATGAGCGCTTCATATGCATCCCGCACAATACAGCAACCGCAATCGGCTCCTGCTCAGCTTGCTCTTTGTCCGCCTTCACCTGCCAACGAGCACGTGCAGACACGCAGGCACGCAGGCACGCAGGCACGCAGGCACGCAGGCACGCAGACACGCAGGCACGCACGCACGCACAGGCACACAAACACACAGGCATACAGAAACTCTGACACACCGATGCACACATGTACGTGTATACATACATGTATATATATATATATATATATAGTCGGGTCACGCGCTGCAACAATCAATTTTGCTGAAGAGCCATACAGTTGCAACGATGGATGAGCGACAAATACCTCGGAGTGGTTTGCTTCCCTGACCATTGCTGAAACCACCCCAATCTAGGTCCTCCAGTACAGAGGCTAGAATAAGGGCACCCTTTTGGCACACGGCGGGCGACGAGTTCGTCGGCTGACGGAGGGGCATGCCGCCCAACCATCTGAACAGGCCTGGTGGGACAGGTGCCCACCAGTGACACACACCACAGCCAACTCTGTGGTGAAAAGAACGGGCACTCCACACGGCGAGGTGAAACCGAGAGATCTCCAAGGGGCAGGACGCCCACACTTCCAGTGACCCATGACGTCCATGCGCTCCAGCACAAGGCCCAGGGGGGCTCCACCACGGCCACCAGAATCCCCACAAATAGGGAGCCACAAGCACCAGGCCTCCACCAGGACGCAAGCGAAAAGGCCCAATCCCGAGGGACGCGACCAAGCCTGGCTCCCGGGCCAGGCCAGGCCTGCATAAGCACCCAAGCGGGGCTCCCACTTACCTGGAAAAGCAAGTGGGGCCCTACGGGTGACACAGCGCCGAGCTGCTTTGAAGTGTACCAAGAGGTCCTGAACCGTAGCAGCACGGCCATCCGGGCACGGCAATGCCTTGGAGGACGCGGAGGGCATAGACGGATTGCACAGCTGACGGGGGGCTTCCAACAGGGCCCGAAGGTCCACAGCAGGTTTGGCCAAGATGCCAGCGAAGTCAACAGCAAGGCCCTCAAAGCTCTCCACCACAAGCTCAACGAAATCAACCATGTCAATGACCGTAGCTGCCTCAACAGAAGGGCAGTAGGTAATGCCCGGGACAAGGTGGACAAGCACGCAACGGGGTACACAGAAGACGGAAGCGCGGGCAAGGCAGCCCGCGAGGGCAGAAGGCGAGGCCTGACACCAGTGGCCCAAGCTGCCCACGCGGAACCAAAACGGGAGCCATATACCAAGCTCAGCCAGGGTAAAGGCATGATCCTCGGCTAATGGCGCGCACTTGGCAGTGTGGGCCAGGCCAGGGGGAGGGGCCCAAGGGTCATGCATGGTCAAGGGATCAACTGGGACCATCTCATCATCATCGGAGGCTAGGGACACAGCCGTTTCCCAAAGCCACCCCCAGGGGGGGAAGAGGCGCAGCAAGACATGCTGCCCAGCCAGGTTTTCAGCCGTAGTGGTATCGCTCACCGGGCGACCCTGGACAAAGGGGCGGACATGCATCAGGAGACGATCAGGAAGGGGCAGTGCCCGCACAAGCTGCCTAAGCGTGGCGGCCCGAGGAACATGAAAGACATGCTCCCGACGCATAGGGTCATGGCTCCGGCGGCACCAGAACCGGGGGAGTTGCACTGGCTCCTGGGCCGGAACCACAGCCAAGTCATGGCCGGTCAGGTCCCCTGCCGAATCACGAGGGAGCCACGAGCAAATGCCGACACAGCGAGGAGGGGCAAGACGACGGGAGGAAGGCGAGCCGTCAACAGGACCAAAGAGACCGACGCCCCAACAGGGTAAGTGACCTCAACAGAAGAGGATCGAGCGTGCAGCACCCATGCGGTAAGGGAAGACCATTTGGGGAAAGCCTCCAAGGCGAAGTCGATGAGCTGATCCAAAGCTCCAACGAAGTACCAACCTCGCACAATGGCAGGACGCAAGTCAGTGCCCCGAAGACGGTGACGCCAAACACGCAGGACAAGATCCTCAGGGACCTCAGCGATGAGGCCAACAGCTCAAGAACACATTCCACGGGATGGCAGCCTGCGGGACCGAGATGCAGTTGCCCAGACCATGGAAGGCCTCCTCCAAGGTAGGAGGGAAAACCAGAGGGCGGACCGCTCCCAGCCAGAGCGCCCATTGAGCAGGGGAGAAGAATGCCGGGCGAACATCAACAAGGGTGAGCTGGGCGAACAGCCCCCTGTCAGCCAGGGTAGCAGCGGCAAGGACATGCTGCTGAGAGTACCGAGCACAGAGCGGGCGCAGTGGCTGATCAGTGGGGGCAACACGTCTCTGCAGGACCTCTTGGGCTGTGTGCAGGGGGGGGTCAGCACCAGGCAGGAAGGCAGGATTGGTGTAGTGCCGGAGGACCTGGTCATCAAGCAAGCGCGCAAAATCAAGCTCAGAAACTTCCTGCACCTGGAAGTCCTGGTGAGTCCACGGAACAGGAACAGGGTCACCGAAAGAGGCTGTGGGGGCAGGCTCAGACACCTCAACATCACATCGCAGCAGAGTGGCAAGCCAACGGCGTCTGGTGCAGGGACCAAAGGTGGCGTGGTCATGTACCAAAGCGTGGTGTACCCGGTAGCCTGCCCACTGGATAGTGGCAAGGATGACGGGAAAATGTGGATGGTCCGGCAACCCATCCACACATTCCATGAGAAGTCCCACAGGGCCACCACCCTACCCCACGCCACAGCATCCACAAAGTACATGCCCTGGGGATCCGCAAGACCATCCTGCTCACCAGCCCGGGACCACGGAGGGCAAGGCAGCGAGGCAGTGGCAACATGAGTGCCCACCCATGGGACAACATGCAGCAACCCAAGGTCGGCCACGTCCGACAGGATCACAGCCTGGGAAGGCGTAGGATCCCAACTGGTCAGGTTGACGGGGAGCATACTAGGGTACTAGGGACATCCAGCGCAACACACAGCGAGGCAACAACCTGTGGCGAGAAGTTTACCATGAGCTCCTGCTGGATGTCCCGGCCCACCAGCTGCCTGATGGCCTCAGCAGCCTGACCCCATCCATGAAAGTCAGGTGGAAGACCAGGAGAGAAGACAGAGCACGCCCACCAGCCTCGACCCTGAAGTGAAGGTCAGCATGACCTCGCCAGGCCTCAGGGTCTGGATCCTGAAAACCACCTCAGGTAGAGGACAGAGCAGACAAGGCCCGCAGAACCGCAGGGTCACGAGACAACATGGCCGCCAGGCAGCAAACAGACAGAGCCCCAACACGCAAGAAACCGCCGCCACACAGCAGGGCAGACCAGGGGGACCGCGCACAAGAGAAAGCGGGGCGCCACGGAGGAGACCGTGGCTTGGTGGACGCCTGACGCACAGGGGAGTGTCGCCAGGCCCTGGGAGCCCGATCCCTGAGCCCTAATGGTTTTGGACCAGAACGGCTTAAGGGCACCCTTTTTTCTGCAGTCTATTTGAGAAGGGGAACCCTCCCAAAAAAAGGCAAAAGGGCACTACTGGGAGAGCTAGCTTTTGGCTCGGGCCTTTGCTGGTGGTTTGCTAACTGGGATGCCACAGTATTCAGTTGACCCTGTGTCAGCCTTGCAGGTTTCCTGGGAATCCAGAGCTGAACGAGATCTCGCCAAATGCCATCGGTTGCACCACATCGTGCGTGTGATCTTTCGCGTCTCGTATGGCACTTTCCTCAGGGCTTGGCATATATCTTGCTTCCTGCTGGCAGTAAATGAGGGCTTGTCTTCTATGGCCTCCCTGTAAAGCACCCCCCAAAAGAATGGTAGAATTAACTTGCTGCAAGCAGCCGCGCAAAAGCAGTTCTCCTTGAATCAGCCGCATGTGCCGCATGTCCCCAACTTGGATCCAAGAAACCTGCCTCGTCCAAGATCTTCCCGAGATCCTGCGATCGCACACCGTCTTGATGCAAAGAAGCAATGACCATCTGGCTGTGGGTCAAAAATATGTACCCAAAATGAAATCCTGGTCACGGAACAAAACCTGCAGTGCTCTGGTCGTTGAATTTTGACCCATACCCATCTGATAGAGGGCAATGGCAAGTGAAGACTGCCTACCCTTGGCATCAGATCTAGGTCAATTGCGTCAAACACATTCGTTTCACCGGCAATCTCTGGCTTGCATTAGGTTGTGCGACATGTCTGCCTTTGATATGTTCAGCATATTTGCTGGCGACAAGCAGCAGTAAGGTGTAAGGTAACAATTGACTGCAGCAACTCAAAGTTTCGGCTGTCAAATGCTAAAACACGAAAAGCCTTGAGCTGTGAAAACAGTTTTGAAAACAAACATGACCTGCATTTCCCTGTCCATGGCGAGTGCATGCTTGCCCACATTTACCCCAAGCAAGCCTGCACAGAGTGCTGGAGTAAAGATGGACCTGTTTACCAAGAAGGCTCACCGGCAGATTCGGCAGTTCACTAGGAGTCGGCAGGTCAAAACAACCGATATGACAGCTACAAAAGCTGAACCGGATATCGGCAACCAGACCCCGGCAACAGGTATTGGCAATCAATTTTCGTCAACTGCAAGGGCTAGATTCGGCAACAGAATGCCCGAAAAATGACATGTCAGGATCCCACAACAGTGACAAGACAAAGTGCTGTGTGTGTGTGTGTGTAAGCGTGGCTCCGGGGGGTGGTGCTTTCATTTTGGACGTGAGGGGTGCTTCAGTTTTCTGTTGAGGGACGCTGCTTCAGTGTGGTGCGTGCGACTAAAGGTGGGTACTCTTATCATTTGGCAAGGAGTGCTTCACACCGCCTTGACCTGCGGACATGTGTGTGTGTGTGTGGGCCAGAGTGCTTCAGTGTGGCGGGGATGATGGCTGAATCATGGTTGCTGCATCGCACTTGCCGCGTAGTCGTTGAATCGCAGTTGCTTAAAAAAAACCTGCGCGCACTTGTGAAACTGCCCACACTTTCCGACATCGGACTTGGTTCACAATTACCTGGACAACCATGTCCATTGTACCCTCAAATACAATTTGATCTTGATAGCACATACGAACACACACACACACACACAAGGCTACCATTGAGGTGGACTGCTTGATGAAGGCTCTCCTCTTTGAACAAGGCTGTCTCTTTCTGCTTGAAATACGATGGTCGAAGGGTTGAATGGCTCTAAACTCCCCAACCACAATGACCAAACAGAATTTACTGCAACAAGCACAAGAAGCAAAAGAAAACATAAGAAGAAACAGAAGGAGAAGAAGTGAGCACCAAAGACCCCCCCAAGTTCCTAAGTCCATTCAACCACTTTGCACGTCCCGCCCGATTCCGCGTGAAGTCTTCGCTCTGGAGCCGCCTGGGCCGCTTGCTCCAGCGTCTGCAGGTTGCCCTCGGAGCCGCGCTTCTCTGCCTGGCACCGCGCGCCGAAGATCACCAAAAGGAAACTCAGATGAGTGGCTCGGCTTTTTTACGGGACCCCTTAAAATAGTGGGTTTCCTTTTGGTGTCCTTTTGCAACCACCACAACAGGGGTGCCCTCAAAAAAAGAACGGATGAGTCATCATCAAAACCGATCTCTATTGAAATGGTCCAAGCCCAGAACCATGTAAAGAACTAGAATGGCGGCGAAGGCCCTCATTTATGGGTGGGACTATCCCTTACTAACCTTTGTTTACTCAGGTTTTGATTGTGGGCGCGTATGTGTGTTTGTGTTCAAATCGAACAGCGTTTCTCCCACTACGATTCCCTTTAAATCGAGGTGAAAATCGGTCCCCTCCAAAAACAAACGCACGCACACACACAACATTGTCGGGTTGACTGCCCTGGGTTGCGCAACACTTCCTTCAAACCGGCGCAAGTGTTTGGAGAAATCTTAGTCGTCTTTTGGGGGCAACCCCGCTAGATGCAACAAACATGTTGCGGCAGGTTTTCACGTGTTTGGCATGCACATCCAGCTTCCTCGGTGCCGAATGCGGGCATGCCAAATGACGGCCAAGCTCCTTTGCCCTCAGATCCCCTGCTAAACGTCTTTAACTTTTAGTGGGTTAAATGGAAACCACCACTAAACACTCAAAGGCTAAAAGGCTAAAAGGGCTAAGGAACCGCATGGGCTGGGAGCCACCAAGAAAGAGTCGGCCCATTCTGCAGTTGACAAAAGCCAGGCCTTGCACCAGCTGAGCTTCTCATCTTCCCCGTGCTGCTCACGCTTGAGCACCTCGATCATATCCTGGGCGAAGCGACCCAGGAATCAAGCGCTATGGTTGAAAATCCCTCCCACATACCCTCTATCCAACAAAAGGAATAGCATGGTGCTACTGTGGGTGGACAACATCCATTTCGCATCACCTAAGAAACCCTGAAATGATGACTCATCTCTAAATACCAACAAAGAATGGTCTCCAAAGGGTTTCAAAGTGGTGCAGGATTTCGTCCATCCACAGTATGGTTGACAATCTCTCCCACATACCCTCTATCCACCAGAAGGATAGGATGGACCAACTATCTGATTGCGCGACAACCAAAGCAAGTTAACCCCATTGGATTGCCGAAATGAAAGCAAAACCGTCTTCTAAAACCCCGGCTTTGAGTGTTCAAGGAAGGGCGCCAGTATCCATTCAAAGGTTGGCCAGATCTCTGGAGCTGGCAAACTCCATGGGTAGAAATCGATTGAAGAACTTTGAACACCCCATGTCTCTTGAACATGGTCGCAGCGATATGTACAGGAGGCCATGCACAAAGCATTCCTTGAAAGGCAGAGGCAACCGTGAAACAGCGCCGCAAGCGTTGGTTGCAGAGGATTTTTCGACCATGTTAATTGGAAGGCAAGTTCAGTAGGCTATGCACCTGGTATCTCAAACCATGATCTGATCCCAGACATCATTTACTTCCCTGCGGATCTGGCAAGCTCTGCGGTTGTTCTACATGCAATGCTGCGTCCGCGCAATGAACGCCGGGAGGATTTGCGGAGAACGGCTGATACCACGCTCTCTGCAGCCATGTTGTAGCTCTGAGGCTTCAAACCTTTGTCCACGGTTTCAAGTTGGCAGACTCTCAGCGTGGATGTTTCGTCCAGGAAAACTTTCCATCAATATGTCCTCGCCGGAAATGTTGCTCCTGATTCGGTCGCCGAGAAAGTCGACGGTGCAACCCGGAGCTGTCCCCTCAAGACATTTGACGCGTGGCCTTCTTTGGAATGCTGCGAAGCAGCCTCTGCACCCGACTGGAAAAAACAAAAAAGACCTCCGAGCTGAACGCGCCCGAAAACTCAGGAGCTCTCCACATGTCTCTTAACTCGGGAGCCCAACTCCATGTCACTCTGCATGGAAGAGCGAGCACAAGGAATATCTTTCTGGTGCTCAGGGAATGTGGGAATGAATCCAAGGGTGCCCTTAAAGGCAACCAGAGGTGGTTTCTGAGGGTCCTTCCCTTATTCTCTGCTGAGCAGCAGCAAGATATGTTAGACCTTCTCTTCTGTAGAGTTGTGGCAAGCACCAAGACGTCTGTGTCGGCTCCACTGCTGGTGCTGCGTACAACGTCTCCATGATGCCGATACCTTGGCCCAAGCCATCTCCAATTAAACTTAGAAGGCGATTTGCCAAAACTAGGGACTCGTTCTTGGAAAATCAACATGACACCAACTGTTGAAGGAGTGTTGGTGTTGACATCCTTTAAGGTGAGCTGTACTGCTCAGGACTGTGTCAACTTGTTTTTGGGAGACCTCCTTCTGTTGTGTTTTAACAGCAAATCCGATGGAAAGCAACCGTCAGGGTTTGTCTCAAACATAGGCAATACCCGGGTCCCTTCTTTCCAGCAGGCAAAACCTGTATCCCTGCTAGTGGGTGTCCCTCAAACATCGCGGGCCCCCAACTCGTTTTGGACGCGGCGCAACTCGTTGCCGACTCAAAGTTCTGCCGCCCAGTCGATGGCGGCGACGCCCGCACAGCCGCTGCCGAGGAGCAAGTCCTCGGAGGTGTCAAAGGGGGGACCCCACAACATGGGTCTCTCTCTCTCTCTCTCTCTCTCTTTTGCGGGACCCTCCGTGCTTTTCAAGGGAACCCAACAAGGAAAGTCACCAAATGCACAAATTAAAAAAAAGGCACCCCCACATGGAAGTTGTCCTTTTGGGCCTTTTGGGTTCCACTTTCAACCTTTGAAAGCTGTACCCTGAAAAACACATGCCAGGGTTCCGCGAGTGAGTCACAATGAAACCCGATACTACAGGAGTCTTTCCACCATCTGGCCGAAGGATCTTGCGAGTAATTTTGAAAAATTATTCTTTTGGGGAAATCAACCACCTCTTGGCTCGAGTTTTCCCTTGCGGAATGATTCTAGTTGCCCTCACCCTTACCAAATGGGTCTGTGTCCAACTAGGTAATTGGACTCCCCAATTCTGGCTGTCTCTCTGGTTTCCCAAAAAAAAACAAGCTTTAAAAGGGCTGGCAAATAAAAACAAACACACACACACACACACACACGAGCACACACATACACACAAATGGAACCCTGGTCTGATAGGCGTCCACCGTCTGAGCGTTCACGCCGCCCAGGGCATAGATGGGAAAGTCTGGCACAGCCTCCACCACCTCTCGCAGCCGCGAAGGTCCTGCCCCAGCTTCTCCGGGATGAGACCTGGAGGAACCGACGCCAGGGGATGCGTTGTTCTAGGGCTACCTTCCAATTCCATTCTGAACCCAGGGATCCGGATCCTTTCAGAAAACCATCAAAAACGCAAGGGAAACAGATCCGGTCATTGAAAAGAACGATGGTTGAAAAGAATGGAAAAGGAATTCTTTCCAGGGGTCCTTCTTTTCAGACCATCAAAAACCCAGGGGAAACAGATCTGGTCTTTGAAAAGAACGATGGTTCAAAAGAATGGAAAACGAACCAACCCCTAGATTTTTGAGTGGGGGAGCGAGCCTCTTGTTTGGGGAACCAAGCTAAAGAACCTCAGCTGCCCAAAGGGGCCCCAAGAAATTGCCAAATGACTCAAAAATGCAAGGTCAAAAAGGCGGCTTTGGGCAAGTGAGGAAACCAAACAGGGAAACCAAAGGAAGCCATGCTTGATGGTTTTCAGGGGCACTGGATTTCACCCAAAGTTACAAATGACTCGTGGTTCCCAGTGAAACGATGGCCACTTCCAAGAAAGGGACCTTTCTGGTTTCGGGAATGAAACGCTTTTGGGGTCCCTGATAAAAACACCTGGATGGTTCTTGGGGCCCATTCCCTCATTCTGAGAACCAGCAAGATACGACCCGGAAAGGGAAAGTCTGCAAATGAGAGCCAACCAAAATGCGGCTTGCGCTCGGTAGATTCTCTTAACCTCAAAACAGATTCAATTACTTTTGGTTTGAAAGGGAAACCAACGGGAAGTCTATTGGCCTCCCCTAGATTTGCTCCATCAGAAACGAACCAAACGCAACCCTCGGGATTAGAATCAACCCGACTAGAAGCGTGGCTGGCAAAAGGAAACTGTTTACCCTGTGAAATACAAACCCCGAATGATACCTTTGTACCCGTATACCCTGGTATCGGTTGGTATGGTTCTTGTTGTTCCTCAGCATCAGCTTACAACGTTTTGGGCTACGCGTTGTTAAGTACACTATAAGTCGCTGACGTGGCCACGGAACACGCATAGGAAAAGCAGGCAGCAAGCAGCATCGCACAGACTTGTTTCGTCTAATTCAAAAGCAGGTTCGGATATCGGGAAGAGGTCCTGGAAGAGTTGGTGTGAAGATAGCAAACCAGAGCCACGGCGTGCTACCGGGCAGTTGGTTGGATTTGGCAGGCATGAGTATCGGTTAGGTATCGACTGAGTATCGGTTTGAGTATGGGTTCCGGGTCCATGAGTTTCCAACCTTGGTTGAGCAACAATGAATTGCCTCTCCCCTGGGTTGGAGTCATCAAACCATAGACCCTCAGCTACCCCATGGCCCAACTCAGCCCCGGCCTTGTGGGAAATACCGGGGAGAACAGCCCCGCCGTGGCCTTCCCCTCGCGCGCCGCCCGCGCGGCCTCTTCACTGTGGCAAGCCGCTGTGAGCTTCCAGCTGGGGTGCCTCGCGGCCAGCGCTGGCGGATCGGTACCGCGTTTGCCCCAAAGCAACGCGAAGAAATCTGCCGAAAAAACCGCCTGGCAACTCGCACGCGCACACCTGCACGAGCACACGAGGACACGCGCGCGTTTTCACGCGCACATCTGCGCGAGCACATTATAAGCACCATTGAACGAAGGATCCATCGGGCACCCCACACGACTCCAGCGCATGCCCCTCCTCAACCGGATTTGGCTCAGCTCCGGCAGCATGTGCTGCGGCAGGTGCAGGCCATCGGCTGCCACCTGCTGCGCCAAGGCCACGTCCCTGGCCACCAGGAAGACCTGACACGTGGAACGAGGCTGGAGCCCAGGTCGGAGTCTTGGGTCCCGAAACCGTCTGAACCACTGGAGTTTTGGCCACCAAAAAGTGGTCCAAGCCCGAAAAGTAGAGAAAGTCCAGAAAATTCAGGGTTTCAAGGGGGAACCCTTGGGATCAACTCACCTCCCGGGTGGATGGTAGAGTCTCAACTTCTTGTTGGCCACTAAAATAGTAGGTAAAACCTAAAAAGAAAGTCGTGGGTCCAAAAAACGTCCGAACTTCTTCTTGGCCACTAAAATGGTAACACCTAAAAAGAAAGTAGTGGGTCCAAACAAATGTCTGAACTTCTTGTTGGCCACTAAAATGGTCCAAACCCCCAAAAAGTATAGAAAGTCCATGCAGTCAGGAAGTCAAGGGGAAACTCCAAAAGGGTCCGTCACCCAGGCCAGTGGTATGCATGTAGACTTGGAACTCTGTTTGGGACTGAAAGGAACCCAAAGGAAAGTACTGTAGTCGTTTGGAGGGATCCCTGACGCCTCCATGGTGGATTTTGACATACTCTCAAAAAAGCCCCCCTCCCCAGTTTTGACCCAAACGAATGACTACTTCAGCGTTTGCCCACCCAAACTTGTCATTTCAGGGTTCTGGTCCATGTATGAACCGTACTCTGCCGACTAACATGAACCTCCAATACCACCCATTTTCATGACTCTCCACATCGAACTGGGCCAGACTTAGGCCGCAAAAGGTTCACTTTGCTGGTCAGATGGCAAAGCCTTTGCTCTGATGCAAAACAAAACGTCCCAAAGAAAAACCGTTTGGGGCCCTGTTTGGGCTTTGGGCGGGGAGCAACTTGGCAACTTGGCGAGCCCAAATCTGGGGTACACCCAAAACAAACGATAAGATCGCGTTTTTGGGAAGACGCAGGTTTCCATGCTCGCATCTTTTTTACTCAACCCAAGTGATGTGCAAATCCAACTGGGTTTCCTATATGTCACCGACAGTATGGGCCAGGTGATGTTTTTCAGCCGAGAAGGGACCTATGAATATTCTTCCTTTTTGTTGAGGGTCCCTTCTTGTTGGAGTGGGCTGAAAGGGAAACTGATTAGAAGGAAACCCCACATGAGCAGAGGTTTTTTTTGGGAAGGTAATGCTGATGACGTATCAAACGCCCACGCCGGCGCCTACGCCATGTGCAAATACCATGCGGGACGGCCTACGCGAGGTGTAGGTCAGCCTTAAAACGCCTCTGCGAGCCTACGCGGTTGGAGTTTTGCTCTCAAAGTGCCTACGCAGTGTGCGTTTCGTTCTAAAACGCGTACGCGCGCACCTACTAGCAACCTGTCAAGTCGAGCCTACGCGGTGCCTACGCGAGAAGCTCCCCAGCCCACTCTCAAAAAGTGGCTACGCGCGCCTACGCGCAGGCAGTAATGTGCCTGCACGGGGCCTGATATGTCCACTCTCCTTTTGCCCCTTTACTCCCGCAAAAAACTCTGCTCACATGTTTGGCCCCCCCCAGTTTTTGTAAGACACAGCCAGTGGCATCGACGACCCCGGCTCTGGGCACCGAGGCGCAAGGCCGAGGTCGCCGCAGAGGCGCCGCGCTGCGAGCGCCGCGCTGGGGCGCTTTGTGCCGAGGTCGTAGTCCCGGAAGATGACCCAGGCGCCTGCGGAGGACAGAACTGTCCAGGGGTGCCAAGGTACATACCCCTTTTACATAGCCCTTGGACAAATCATACCCCTCTCCCCAGTATATACCTTGGACACCACGATTGCCAAGGGGTATGAACAAGGGGGATGTACTTTCTCCCTTAGAAACTGGATGTCGCAGGTTGCAGCATGGCTGGTTCGATAGGCGGGGAATGAGTTCGATGCAATGAAGTCGAGACATATAAAGCATCCCCGATTTGGTGGTCAACAAACCAAGAATTCCACCCCGAGTTTCCCACGAGTGTGCAGAGAAGCTGTCTACACTTGCTGGTTCGATAGGCAGGGAATGAGTTGGAATGACCCAGATAAACCATCTCCCCTGGTTTCTTTTCAGGGAATCCCTAGGTTCATTCCCAAAACCCGGGGTCATTCCCCACTGAGCTGTCAGCAAATTTACCCAGTCAAACTTCGCAATTTCAGGCAGAAATTGAGGGATTCCTAGTAGTGCAGCGTGGATGTGTAACCTTGGGCGCTTGGGAAAATGGGTCATAAAGAAAGCAAGATCGAACTGCCTCGTAGGTTTCAGGTCTTTACTACGACACATGTGAGGCTCACAGATTTGGATGCGAGTCTTTTTCGAGGGTACCCTGGTTGGTTTAAAGGGCACCAAAGGAAACCAACCATTTTTGGGGGTCCCAATCCTGAAAAAAGACACCCCCTATTTCTGTGAACTGAAATTTCTGTGAGGGCTATCGAACAATTGGAGGCTGTGGCTTGCGCATCTGGGGCCAAAATCCTATGGCGACTGGTCTGGCGAAAGGGCTCCAACATCCGCGGTCTACAGTCCAACACCGCCAGGGAAGCAAACTGACAATCACTTTCTGGCACGAAAATCGTGGCCTACCCCGCGGATTTCCGCACATGTTGGTTCTATGGTTGCCCATCTTCACCTCGGGGTTTGAGTAATGTTGACCCCATAAACCCGTCCCATTCATGGGGGGGCGTCCCGAAAGGAAGCTACTGACCCCATACTAATAGAACCCATCTAACAGGGGGAGTGTGTCCCGTCCCGAAAGGGATGAATCCCCACTAAAAGGAATCCGGATCAAAATCAAGCACTGGGTCCTCCAGTAGGGTAGAATAAGGGTACCCCTTTTTTCTGTAGTCTATTTTAGTTGGGGAGCCCTCCCCCAAAAAAGGGCAAAAGGGCACTACTGGGGGACCTAGGCTTAGATCCGAGTGTTCGGGCATCCGTGCCAGCGCCTCCGCCGAGGCGAGGCAGCCACTGCTCCAGCGGAAGCCTTTGGCGCGAGGCATCTGTGATGGCCAGCAGCCACGGCAGCCGCCGCCACTGCGCCGGCTGCGGAAACATCCGACGCCGCGAGGCCGGCCGCACGGTTGCTGGAATCTAGTGGCTGTATATCTGATTTAACATGGATGGGGGTGGTTTGGGGTAGTGGAAACCATCTTAGATTGAAGGGGAAGAAGAATACATGATGTGTCCTAATTTATATAGGGAAAGCTGGTGGTCTTCTTGTTGGTTCCCTTGACAAAAACTACCCTGCCCTCAAAAAACAAACCCACATCAACTCCTAGGGCAAGACGAGCTTGGGAAGGGCAACTCTATGCAAAAGCGATGGATTCCACTTGTAAATTGCAAGACTGGTGGCATGCTGGGATCCGGCGGATCCCACCACGCGTTCTCTTCACTTCGGGGTTGCTTGAGGCTTTGCTTGGCGCCAGTCTGCTCTTAGGTGCTACAAAGTAGCAATGGCCGCGGAGCAATGGGCTTGAGTGGCGCGCATTTCAGGCTGCTATATCCTAGCTTGGTTCAAAAACCACAAGCGTGCAACAGAAAAAAAACACACTCAAACGCGCACACACGCAACACACACACACACAAGCACAAGCACAAGCACAAGCACATCCACAAACACAAACACACACACACAAACAAACAAACAAACAAACAAACAAACAAACAAACAAACAAACAAACAAACAAACAAACCAACAAGAACAGAGAAAGAAAAAGAAACAAAGAAAAAAAGAAAGAAAAGAAAAGAAAAGAAAAGAAAGAAAGAAAGACATATTCCACCAACCAACCAACCAACCAACCAACCAACCAACCAACCAACCAACCAACCAAGCAAGCAAGCAAGCAAGCAAGCAAGCAAGCAAGCAAGCAAGCAAGCAAGCAAGCAAGCGAAAAACAAGCAAACAAACAAACAAACAAGCAAGCAACAAAACAAACAAAACAAACACACACACACACACAAAAAAAAAAAAAAAACGCACCACACCGCACCACACCGCACCACACCGCACCACACCGCACCACACCGCACCACACCACACCACACCGCACCACACCGCACCACACAACACAACACAACACAACACAAATAACACGACACACACACACACAACGCAAACACAACACAAACGCGCAAACACACACACACACACAACCAAACAACACCACACTGCACAGCACCACACAACACAAAACAACACACAACACAAACACGACACAACCGCGCACACACACACACGACAGAACACACACAGGGAAAACACACACACACACAGAACTCACAACGCACACACACAAATGCACCTCAGCTCATTGCGGGTAGCGGGTTCAGCGGCCGCCTCATCGTGCGGTCGGGCGGCTGACACTCGATCCTGGACCTTCTTGAAATCGATCTTGCCCGAGCGCCTCGGGCGCAAGCCCCTCAAGGCTTGTCCCCACTCACCTGGAACATTGAAGGCTCCCTTTCGGAAAATGGTCACCCCAGGTTCAATGGGCGCGAGAGCGGAGGCTTGGCATTTGTTGCTTGGAACCTTTCAAAGGTAATTGACAAAGGAATTTGCGGCAGATCCTTCTCGTGCAGACTGCGTCTGGATTCCGAGAGGTCATCCAATCGGGCATCCGCGTTGAGAGTGTGTCCAAAATAGACGATGCCCACCGCCTTTCACAGAGTCGTGAGCATTCATCAACATCCATTCCGAGTTGCCGACACCTCCAAGGGTGGCTCAAGTCTTGGTCCGAAGAAAAATGCTCTGGCAAAGTCCACATACCTGGCACCTGCAGGAAATGCCCACTGATGCCCTGCATTACAGCCAATGTCCTTCTCTTTCTTCAAAGTGGCCAACAGGTTCCCCAAAAAAGGAGATTCCCCTCAGGCTAGGGCTGGTGAATCACATCGATTGATCAATCATGGTCAATCAAGCCCACACTTCTCAGTGGTGCTGGTCAGTATGCATGTATGTATGTATGTATGCATGTATGTAGACTGAGTAAGGAACGATGATCGCAGCTTATTTGCAAAGTTTGATATCAAGTGAACAACTATTGCTGCCCCATTGATATGTCAAGGCAACCCACGTTTCCTGTTGAACACACTTGGGCGCGACTCAAGGTCTTGTCTCATAAGGCAACCCCAATGGCTTCCATTCGCCCAAATCCTTGAAGGACGCGCCCTATCACCCCAAAATATTTGTAGAACACTTTCATACATGGTTGGTGGACGAAACAAGAACATGTAAATGACGTGCGCATGTGACATCTGCGCCGCTTCAAGTCACACCCGAAAATTGACCTCTTTAGAGGCTCGTTTGGAGGGAAAAACGACTCATGACAACCCCTCAACGCTGTCAATGGGCCCAGGCCAAATGGTCCCAATTAGAATGTGTACCCACATCTTGAGTAACCCCAACCAGGGTTCTAACACATGGATTCCTTCCGAATGCGAAAAACAAACACGTTGTTGTCCTTTGCTGCAAGCGACCGGAGCCTTTTTAGCACCTGTTCAACGGGTCCCGAACATCAGGCCCACAGCCAAGTGGCAATGCCATGGCCAGCAGCGCCACGCTGGGTGAGGCGCTGCCTGAGAACCAAGATCTCGTGAAGTGAAGGGGCAGGTGGTCAAACAAGTCATCAAAACCCGGTACTAAAATGCTCCAAGCCCAGAACCATGTAAAGAATTAAAATGGCGGCCGCACCCATTTATAGTGGGGATCTTACTAACATTCATCTATAATTGTGGCTCAAATGCATGTTGGTTCTCGTTAACTGCTTGCTGTTTGCGCACTTTGCCAAGTACTAAGCGTTTTGGCATTCCAAGGGCTCGTTTCTGCACCTTATGATACTTGCAGCTGCGAACAAAGGCGGATCCCGACCAGCATCACCGGCATCATCAACATCATCACCATCCCGGCATCACCCGCATCGCCAACATCACTAGCATCATAATCATCACCGTCACACCAGCATCAGCATCATCTCCAGCATCGCCAACATCACCAGCATACAATGTGCAGCCTGGTTTGTTCACAGGTGAATCTGCTGGTTGCCATGTTTGCGAGAAAAGGGTCTTGGAAGGGCTGGCAACTGAGCGGTTGAACACTGTTGCCCGATCCATATGGCAAGACCAGATGAGGGAAGTGACCGCCTGCACTCGGCGTTGGCCGTCGTGTGGCCTTGATATCGCAGTGCTTGCGTGGTTTTGCTTGGTTGGTTCAGCTTGCGATTTACTGTAGTCTTGTGTTACTTTGTTTCGCTTGCTTGGAGGTGGTGACTTTCTGGATTTGTGGGGGTTAGTTTGTTGTTTTCTTGTGGTGGCTTCTGGAGTGCTGCTGTGGTGTGCATAGCAGATGCCGTTCGTGGTCAACATGGCACAGCTCCAAAGGCAAAATCAAATCGCAGACTAAGTCGTTCACCCATCAATCCACCAACCAGCCACCCCAATCTGCTCAAAGCTCTGGCCGTCAGATCGAAACTGCCGCGCCTTCCAGCATGCCCGCCGCCGCGGCCAACAACGAGCTTCCCTGCTCTCCTGAGGCCACCTGCCAACCACGAGCAGCCAATGCGCATCAAAGGTGGCTGTTCAGTTTGGGCTCCTTTGCTCTCCAGCAATGGTGGCTGTTACTCTCAGTTTCGAAATGCGCAATTGTTTGCCAGACCAGCCACGAGCGGGAAAAAGAAACGCGAATTGTTGAGTAGTACCATCGAGAGAAATAGGGCCCCCGTGGAATGGAGTTGCACGCTATGCGGCTCTCATCTTCCTAGCGGAAAAGCACGAAGCCGGAGTCGGGCCATCACTCAGACTGGCGCATGCCCCAAACTTTGCCAGTCAGGAACCTGCCATTTCTCATGGTCTCTGGTTGTTTCACCTGCAATCGTATCCAGAAGCCGCTGTTTGCATGGCCCGGACTAGCTCAGAGTGGGGCTCGCCATCCAATCAACTCAGCAGTTTCTTCAAGGGCAATAATAGCAATAAAAGAAGAGATCATAGTAATAAAAATCAAATTACTAAACCAACCACCCAACACACCCAGAAAATTCTCGAGCAACCTGCAGAATACGGCTGATCCAAGCGCTATGCATCCAACAAGGGGGGTCAACCAGATCCGTGGACCCAGCCTGCAGGAAGGAAGGCGCTGTCTGGAAGGCTCCGGCGGCCTCCGGATGCAGCGAGGCTACGCGAAGAACTTGAAAGGGTTCAACTGGCATCGTGCGCCGTAGCCGCGATTTTTGTTTGGGAAACGCGGAGACCGTAGACAGAGAGAGAGAGAGAGAGAGAGGCAGAGAGAGCTAGATCTGCACGAATACATTGATGCACAGTGTGCCAGCTTCAAAACAAAGGTGGGCAGTCTCACTGACATCGCTGACCAATGCGGTGGGCATGAGCGCAGCTTGCAAACCTTGCTGCACCAAGCATCACTCAGGCAGTCCTACGCTAGAAGTCACTGGGCAAGCCAGACAAGAAATCAAGGCTTGATTGACAATGTGAAAAACATGCGAATCCATCCGATACACCCGGACCATCACGGCTCCTCTTCGGTTAGGATCTTCAGCGTCTCCTGGATGGCTTGCAGCTCTTCATTCCGCGTCTCTGTGCGCAACTGCCAGTCCTGGCAACAAAGTTTGCGAACCGTCCAGGCCAGCACAGGAGTGCGCCCAAAAACAGGCTGTCTCAGGAAAAAGAAGATGCAAAGTCGAGAAGGGGCGGAGGTGTAAGGGGTGCGCTGTCATTGTGCTACAGCTCTTCATGATAGATATGCTTGGGTGACGTGTGGAAGCCTCTGGCAAAGCGAAGCTTCGAGCTCGCCGCATGTTAGGCATGTCTCCAATGTATTGATCCTTTTCGACATCTCGCCGAAACAAAGTTGTTCCGTATGAAAACAAAAACGGCATGCTTTGCTTCAGGCATTTAAGAACCACAGCGCAAGACGATGTTCGTCCCAGCCCATGCTGAAGACTGGGACTCCACAGGCATTTTGGGGGTCACAACCACGTCTTGCTGGGCAGCCCATGGGCCTGCTCCTGTTGCTGGCAGGTCTCTTTGCTGTCGGCCAGGAGTTTGGTATCTTCCTGGCCAGAGCGAAGCCCTAGGCTTTCACTAGAGAGCTCTAGAGATGCAGCCACAAGCAACGGCTAAATCTATAGCCGGAAAATTGAGTATTCACCAGCTCAAGAAACGCCATGTCCCCCAGGTCACAAAAGCTGGCTAAATCGGTTGGTGCTAGTCAGGCAACATCAGAGCCACCAAACCAAACCAATCAAGCATGTGTCTGTGACTGGGGTAGAACGACCGAAAAAAACTAGAACCGAAACAAGCCGCAAACTAGGACCGAAACGAGAGACGAAATCTGCCGAGCTTCCCTCGTGGTGGTTTGGATAGGTGGTTGGGATCGTGTCCCACTTTTCCTCGCGAATCACGGGCTCCAAGGTTGCAATCCCCATTTCAGCACCTCGCGCCCTTTCGCCCATTGCGATCGACTGGCAGAAGTTCTCGCGCCAAAGGGGATTCAAGCGAGTGCCACCAACTGCTCTGACCGGACTCCCTAAATTTCCTCCTGAAACATCACCTCAAGAAGAAACTCATATAAAAGTGGCAACCAAAAGATGATGCTTCAACATGGCCGAGAAGGGAAACATAGGGATTGACCCCTCCAACCAGGCGTGACAAGCCCTGAAGATAGATGTAAGCTTCGGTATCTCCGCCTGCAGCTTCTTGCTGCTGTCATCGATGGCCTCCTGCTTGTTCACCATGTCTACGCTCATCTCGCCGATCCTGGAACTGACAACGAGCATTCCAGAGCCAGCCACGATACATCCAAGCAGGACCAAACAATGGCAGGGAGGCAAACAAGTATTCATCCATGGCGACGCAGTTACGATATATCCAGGCAGGACCAAACAATGGCAGGGAGGCAAACGCTGCATCCTCAACACATGAAGCCGGTAGCATGCCTTGCGAGCACAAGAAAGAAAAAGCGAAAAGCAATTGGGCCTGAAGCTACAATTTGGCTGAAGCAGGTCAAGTTGAAGCTCTCTGATTCTGCAATCCAAGCTGCAAAAAGAACTTTGAACTCATCGAATCCAAGCGACGCGTCCGGCTGCTGTCTTTCTATCATGATCCTTCTAGTTACACTGCTTTATTCTTTCAAGGGATGCTTCTTGCGGAAAATGGCCACAAACCCAGGCAACTCTTGGTGGTTCCCCAAAAGAATGGGGGAACAGACTTGCCCCTTTCCCGGCAGCTCAGCTTCCAACTAATTTGTGGCTTGGATTGGTTTGGAGGTTGCCGGTTTCCCGTTTAGGGCTTCAAATCCCCAACCACCAAACAGCAACACCAAGGTACCCGCAGCTGTGAGCTGGCAATCGCGGCATACCAAACGGCTGCGTGGCCCAGTGATTGGATGTGGCAACGCCATTCCCCGAATGCACGCCCTCGATGGAGCCTCCTCAGGAAAAATGAACATATTTCGGAAAGGAATTTTGGGAAAGATGCCCGAAATCAAGATAGAACAGTTGCCCACAATATATATACATATATATAAATAGTCTATGTTAAACTGTCATGTGCAGTCTGATTCGATCGAAAAGAGATGCTATGTTTGCGCACGCTTGCAGAAGCATCATTCACGACTCAAAGGCGCGGAGTGCAGTCTGGAAAGCAAGTCTTCCTAATACTTGAGCACTGCAGTGCTTTCCGAGCTACACCCCTCCCCAACATGTGGAGAGTGCGTGAACCTTGTCAAGATTCGCATCCCGTTGACGACCTTCAAGCCCGAAAAGGTTCTCCCAGATCTAACATTTGAGTGGGAAATCGAACACTTGACCTCTGGCAAATCGCATCCAGGAATTTGAGGTGTGAGGCTGTCGGGGGCGCCAGCTCTAGCCTCAGCGCCTGGGTTGCTCTTCCTGAGAATAAAAGAACAAGAAATCAGACCTGCTGCAATGGAAAAATCATATGGCTTTGTCTCAAAGAGAAACCCATGAGTGGTTTCCCCGTACCTCCCCGTTCACCAACTCCAAAAAGGCTGCCAACTCCAAAACAAGGAGAGAGACCGCGCCAGCCGCCGATTCGGTCAACACTTCCAAGCCGTTGGAAGCCGCGTCCTGGTGATCTTAGCTTCCAGCTCCGCTGCAAGGGTGGCCACCTGACCTCGGCGATCCAAAAAGACTTGAAATTGCAATTAACTTTGTATGTGTAGCATGTGGATATCATACATGTCGGCAATGCATATATATATATACAAAAACACTGTATATCATGCCGGGCTCCCAAACAAAGTAAGGCCTTGAACCCCAACGATATGGGCGATGTGGCAGCCCAAGACCAAACTTGTCCGATGATGGTTTTCTGCTCGGAAAGTCTTGGCCAAAGCCAATCGACCAGCTATCTTGCCCAGTGGTTTTCTGTGCGAGGAAAAAAAACACACCTGACCTTTCGCCTGGGCACTTCACAACTTGGATTCGCACAAATCAAGACCCAATCTCGCAGCTGGCTGCCAACACCAAACCACCAAACCCCAACACCCACCTTCGAAGAAGAACAAAACGACCTAAACCCCCAAATCCCCAAACCCCATCCACCCCACAGAACCAAAAACACTATGTATCCCTGTTCTTCTTGGCCATGCATTTCATGTGCTTTCGGAAGCTATGGGAGGCTATGGGTGTATGTATATTGCATACAGAAAAACAGGAAATGGACAAAGGGCATACTATATATATATATATACATATACACGTATAGCCAATATGCTGGGCTGTCCCTAGATCCCCTGCTAAAAGTGCCACTTTTAGTGGGCTAAATGGAACCTTCCACTACACCCCCCCCCCCCCAAAGAAAAAAAAACAAAAAGGAGCCAAAAAGCTCAAGAACCGCATGGCTGGGAGCCACCAGGTAGATTTTCCGACTGCCCTCCCGGCTTCGTCCCGCGGCCCGCTGTTGGCGCCACGCGGCTCCGCTTGGCCGTGGCCATCCCCTCGAAGGCCTCCTTCGCCTCCGTCTCCTTCGCCTCGGAGGCGCCTTGCTCCTCGCGCGCGCAGCCAGGCGCGCGGGAGGCGGCGCGAAGGATCCGGCCGAGCGGAAGCAGCGGCGCCCGGGAAGGGGCTGACCACTTCTGGCCGTTGGAGTGGCTGAATTGGTCTGAATATCTGGAAAGAGATGTTGGAGGAGTCCTTGGGCAGGCCGTTGAATTGGCGGAGTTGCCGCGAATCTGGAAAAAGAAACTTGGAGGAAGCCTTGGGCATGGCCATTGAACTGATTGACTTGGGATACATCTAGAAAAACATAGCTGGAGGAATTAATTCCCCCATTTCGATTTCCCCACGAAAGGAAAGGAGCAGCCACTAAAAGAATGGCACGGTCCAGATTCCGATGTTGGCATTGCAAAGCATGACGCCAAGTGGCTAGTGGCTAGTAGAGGTTCAGCCATTCAACGGAGGAATATCAAACACTGGCCAACTGGCTGAGAGAGCACGCAGTTGATTTTCCGATGGCGTAAATTTACTATGACCCAAGACAGTGGTGGAAGCACATACTGCAAATCATCTGCAACTGTTCCAACTCTTCCTTGCGAGTTTGTGCCTGAATGGAGGAATCTGCCAAAAACTGGAGTTGTCCATGTGGCTTTCCTGAAAACAACCTCCCAGGCTTCCTCAAACGGACACACCCACATGTGGATGCATAGGCCCAGGTTCTCCCAACGAGATGTATTTAGTGGGTACCAAGGACAATCAGATGCTCTGCTGGTTTTCACCCAAGATCTCAGTCACCCGTTGAGAAACCAACCATCAGCTCCCCCCCCAATTCGTGGTTTGGATTGGTTTGGTTTAAGGTGCGGTGGCCCGACCCTCTACAACCAGGGCTTCAGATCCCGGTTACCAATCACAACCACCTGACGGGGCACCTGGGTACCTGAAACCACGCCTCTTCCATGGCATCCCGCATGCTCCTCGGCTCTTTTGGCTCGGTGTGACATCCAGGTGGGAGGCTCGTTGTGTCTTTGGGGCGGGATTTGTTTGTGGTTGCAAAGGCAAACCACCAGACGAGCCGCAACTAGCTGGCCCATTTCCTGGACTGCGCTGTGGGAGAAAGGAAGAGCCCTGCTGCACTGGAACTGGTCACTCAAAAATGCTACACCTCCCAAGATGAAATAACATGTCACGGTCGAGTCATGGTCACAAGGACGAGGGTCATCCATTCAGATGCGAGGCTGTTTTCGGGGACCCCAAATGGGGGTATTCTACCTTCTCTAGGGCTGCGAGAGAATAGGAGTTTCAGGGGAAAGACTTGCTGTTTCTCAGCAGGCAATGAGGGAATGACCCGCATGGGCCATCCCCTGCGGTTTCCTTTCAGGGAATCCCCTTCGGGTTCATTCCCGAGACCCTATCGCAGCTAGAAAAAACACCATTTGTGGGGAGCCACCAACTCCAGGAAACATCGAATGCAACGCGGGAGATGCCTCCGCCTTTGCGGTCTGGTGTTGAGCCAGCCACCAGAATGATCCCTTCCTTCAAGAGAAAGCTCACGGGTCTCTTTCTGTTGAGGGTCCCTTTTTGTGTGTTTGAAGGCAATCCAAATTATTGGAGCCCCGCAAACAAAAAACAACTGGCAATTTGAAGGTCGTTCATTGTTTGTTGGGTTGGGACTACCATGACTACCCGACTAACGCAGCTGGGCTTTCCCGTTCCTGAGCCCGAAGAAGGGGGAGGTCTTGAAAGGAAAGCAGATATTGCCTAGTTTTGACACAAAGCCAGGTGGATCAAAGAACCTAAATGCAGTTTCACTACACTTGGCTATAGTATTGACCCCAAATGGGAAGCGATCGGAACCCGTTTCTGGGAACCCGGTATCCCCTGTCCCATTCTGGATTCCCGTTGAGGGCGCAGCAATGGTTGTTGCTTCTCACATGCTGTTGCCAACCCAAAGGGACGACCAGTTGAAAGAATCATCGCCCAAAACCTGACAAGCCACATTTGGGTGTCTGTTTTGGAGTGCACCCTTGTGTGGTCTTAAAGGGAAACAGCAGGAACACTGTTTCACCATGTTTGGGGGGTCCGAGTCCTACAAAAATACACATGTTGTTTTCCTTCGGGAGCTTCAGAGACCCTAAACATGGGTCTCGAAATGGGGCACCTCTGGCTGGTGTTCGCGTCCATTTAAGAAAGGGCCCCAACTATGCGCCAAAAAAGGGGAAGAGGCTAGGCATCTCAATGTTCGGTTCGTTTAAAAAGAGGCCCCCAGCGTTACGCGAAACACCCGGGTTCTTCCCTTCCAGGAGAAACAAAACACCGACAAAAGTTGGGCTCTGCGTTGGGAACCGCAGCCCGTCGAGCTGCCAGATCAGGGCGTCCCATCCGGATCACATCCCAGAGGCGTGAGACAAATCCGGAGTCGCCTGTGTTGCCGAAACTAAGAGGGGCGATAACTTCTCGGTTGCTTTCTGCTCCCCTGCTAAAGGTTAAGGTTTAGTGGTTTAATGGAAAACCCATTAGTTGGCAAAAAGTTAAAGTCCTAACATCGGGCGTGGGTTGTTTGGACGGTATTCTTTTCAGCTTTGGTTTACAAGGACACCGAAAGGCAAACCGCGTTTTTTTTTGGGGGGGGGGTCCCTCTATTTTGACACAGCCGAGGCGCTGTAGCATTCCCACCACAGCGCTGCTACTCTCCGGGAGAGTCTCCCCACTGAAGACCCGCGACAGCGCGTCACGGTCCGAGTCCCTGCCGTGAGATTTGGGACCCATGGGGCTGGCTTGAAAGGGCAACCAAATCGGAAACCAACCCAAAAAAACAAAATTGGGGGGGGGGGGGGGGCTAATTTTGGGATCCTTCTTCTTCTTCTTTGTTTCTCTTATTTATTTATTTTTCGGGGGGGGGGGGGATTTTGGGGTCCTTGTTTTTGTTTTTTTTTTTTTGGGGGGGGGGTTAATTTTGGGATCCCCTCAAGAGCCGTACGCCAAGAGGTGCAAGAGGCACCGATACTACAAGGTTGTCTCATAGAGACCCACAATTCCAGCGGAACGTCCACCGGCTTGCGCTGTTGATCCCAACAAACAACGCTGCTCTGGTGAGCGCATCAAGTGGTTGAGCCTAAACACCAGGCAGTTTCACTAAACAGGCACTTAGATGGTCTTTGATTTAGCTGAATGCTTAGTAATTGAGCGTAACTATCTAGCCAAACCCAGACCATCTAAGCATGAAGGGCACAAGCGCCGCTGTCAAGCCGTGCATGCAGGATTTCGCTTCAATGAGCCGAATGGGTTGGCAGGGGGCCGAAACCAGGTAGGGATTGCATTTTCCCCCCCGCCGCCCGTTTGTCGGGGCCGACTGCACAATTGCTGGGTTCAACCTCGTTCATGTACCAACACCAGCATCTGCAAATACACCCCCAAAACTTGCACTTTTGGCATCAGAAGATGGAAACGACCGCCCCACACTGTAATTTCCTTCTGCGAATGCCTGCATGAACTAGTACACATTGGAGTGATGGCGTACATTGTTCTAAGGAACACGCCATATGTTTGATCTCACAAGCCAACAGTGATAGCGTTCGTTGCTCTCAAAAACACATCATACGGCCTTGCCCAACAAGCAATCACTACTCGAGCTCATTGCACTAGGAACATGCCATATGAGCGGTCCCAACGACCAATCATCTTAGCGTTCATCGCGCTAGCGAACACGCCATGTGACACAGCCCAACAAGATTTCACAGCAACACGCCACATCCACACATGGCAATTAATTACGCTTTTGATTGGGTCTAGACAACAGACATGCTAGCTTTTTGGAATTCTGCGGAACTGTGAGGTGTTTGCCTTCTAAAGCACAGTTACAGCAGGTCTGATGGAGCCTGCAAAACTGAATCGCCGCAATTCTCCCAGCGCGCGGGGTGCAAAAACAGGCGAAGCTTTAACCTTGGGACCTAAATCACACATGAATTTCCTATGGTGCAAGCAATGGGAACCCGTCTACCAGAACCCTACAACAATCTAGGATGGGTATCAAGATCCAAGGGAACCCCGTTTCCCCTGACCACTGTTTGATCCTTTACCCTGCAGTTGACTCCAAGTTTTTCGCCGAATATTTCTCAGTTTCGATTGTGGCTATTCAGGTAACCCTCAATTGGTGATTTGGGATTCGTGGTTTGGATTTGGGTTTGAACCCCTGGTGCTCGTAGAGGGTGAATGGGAGGCCACCCCACAAAAGTCCAAACCACCTGGCTCCAAAACCACCAAGTAGGCGGAAGCTGATTTTTCGTGGGGAAAAAATATGTCGGACACCAGGAGAGATTCGCTTGTTTCAGGAAACACCCTATGGTCATGGTTCCCTTAAGAATCATCGTGCGGATAGCTGTTTTTTGGTGGCCTGGGGTCATGGCTCCCTTAAGCATCGTTATGGTTAAGGATCCTTACCATGTGGGACCACTGGTTGGACAAGATGCCCCTGGTCAAACCTGGGGGGCCATTCACGGAATATGGATCAACCCCACGGATCATCCGTTGCAGGGTCATGGCCCTTTTGGCCGTTCTATGGTCATCCCTCAAGAATCACCCTTTCTCGTATTCCTAGGGGCTTAAGAACCGTTGATCCTTGCCATATGGCTCATCCTCCCTGCCAACCCCCGAGGGATGCGTCCCAACCGCTACGCCCGGCCTGAGGTTTGCGGAGGCCACCGCCTGCCGCACCAGGTCCGCGGACTGGGACTGCAGGAAGCTCCCTGGCGGAGGCGAGAAGGAAAACAGCCTCGCCTGGGCGAAGTCGTCTTAGGCTCGGTGCCTCTTTTTTTTTGGGGGGGGGGTTGGTGTTAAAGGCAAACCAACAGCAAAGCCACTTGCTTCTTTCTTTTCTCTTTCTTTTTGTTTTTTTTTGGGGGGGACCCTAAAAGGAGACATGCCCATAGTCCTTGTGTTGCAACCATTTTGGGAAAGAAAAGGAAACAGTTGCGCTATTTTGGGGGTCCCGGAGTTTGGGAGACAAACCCACCTTTTGGGCCGCTACACAACTTTCTTCGTGACATTTCTGGGTGACGGTGATGTTTAAAGAAATGTGGACGTTTTCAGCAGACTGTTGGATAGTGCTTCATTAAACAGGAGCCCAAGGAAACACACACACACACTTTCTCCTCTGTTTTGAGAGCCTCCCAAATGGTTTGGAACATGCATGTGGGACTTGCCCACTGTACGGGCCTCCCAACTGACGAAGTCTGCACGAGGAGGTTCCAAGGAAAAGGGTGGGAACCAAACCCCTTCCCACAACCCATGGGTTCCACTCCCAAATCACCGGAGAAAGTGGCTAAATGCCAAGTGGCTGTATGTTCACAGGGCAGTCCTCGGATCCTCTGAAAGTTTTACCCCCACGAAACCCTGCAAACCCTAAAAAGCGAGGAACGGTATTCACCAACATGGGGCTGTCTTTTTTTGCCGGGGGTTCCCTTTTTAGTGGTGTTTCGAGGAAACCGAAAGGACACACCCATAAGTGACAAGCCGGGCGTAGATGGCTGGGAACCGCCAAGGTAAAGCAAGGCAAATGTGTGCTTTGTCAACATTATTCCGGCAATCTTGAAAGGGAAAAGAAAAAGGGAGAGGGAGCTTCACCTAATTACTAGCTGACATGCCCTGCCGACCCAAACCCCAGCCACCACCCATCAACCCCACACACCCCATCCCTGCACCCCATCCCCCCACCCCACCCCCCCACCCCACCCCCCACCCCACCCCCCACCCCACCCCCCACCCCACCCCCCACCCCACCCCACCCCACCTGCCAGGCCCTTCTCCAGCGCACCAATGGCCTGCCCGATGGCCTCCAGGTTCTGGGCAGTCTCGGCCTCACCCCCGACCCCCGGTCCAAAAGGCGCCGGGTGTCCAACTCCCAAAAAGGCGACCGCGGATTTATCAAGTCTTCAGAGGACCTGGAGATAAAAGGTTAACGTTTTGGGGCCATGACTGAAAGTGGACCAAATCACAGAAGCCAAAAGGTCAAAAGGTCGGCTTTGGGCAAGTGAGTCTTTGAAGGGGATGCCCAGCTGATCGAAACTCATGCGACTGGCAAATATTTTTTTCCAGCGAGTACGAAACTCCCTGGAGCCCTTGGAATCCATCTTGCATCAGCAACCCTCAAAGCCAGGTGCTTCGAGTGCCGAAAGGCCAAAAGGAGTGAGACCCTCCAGCCCTGTGATCCATCCGCCAGCCTCATGGCAACATAAATCCGTAACCAACGACACTAAAAAATCCGGGGCGATGGCCTGAGCTGCTTTTTTAGGAAGGTTTGGTTTCCAGGGAAGTCAATGTTGTCATGGTTCATCCTCTCGATGTGGTATTATTTGCGATGGTCCAGAGGTGTAGTCGGTTCATCAGGCCTTGCAACTTAGAATGCGTGGCCATGCGGAGGTCTCTGGCTCGTGGGTGCGACAAAGCTCGAGAGGCGCGGCGCGAAGCCAAAGCGTTCTCAATCCTACATGGCGCTGAGCCAATTTAATATCCTTCAGGCATGAAATCAATGAACATGTACAATCCACTACCAGCGAGCAAGCAAGCACCAAATGGGTTTATGGGTTTGTCTCGCAATAGAAGAACCTCCCAGAATAGGTGGTTTCCTTTTGGTTTCCCTTCAAAACAACCAAGCAGGAGCACCCTCAAAAAAATGTTCAAGCTCAATCCCGCCTTGGCTTTCGCGTATGCGGCGGCCTCTTTTTTCCTGCGCGCAAGCTGAACATGTCGGATGCAACACCGCGCGACACAAACTCGAAGTATTGCAAGGGGCTGTTGCCAGGAATGATCTTCCAAAGAACACCAGATAGAATTGGGGAATGCCACGCTTATTCAACAAGCAAGCAAGCAAGCAAGCCAGCAAACAAACAAGTCGCACCACATCCTCCGCCCAGCTCCCACGCCTTGCGACAAGCAAGCAAACGAACCAGTCGCACCAAGCCAAACCAAACGAAAACCACCTCCTCCGCCCAGCTCCCAGCTCCCGCGCGCCTGAGCTGGGCGGAGGATGTGAGCGCCTCGCGTGCCTCCGTAAGATCTGTGGCCGCCCTCTCCTGCCAAGTCGCCCAAAATTTGGAGCTCGCCCCGCCAATCCAACCGAAAACCATCACTTGCGGGGGACCTACATATTATGGCGCTGGAAAAGGTTTCATGGGGCGGGAGTCCCTGGATATCCTATTTTTCTGCAACAAAAGTGGCATTGCTATGAAAACCGCAAATAAAGTACCTCTGCAGGGAAAATCCAGTCCAAATCACTGAACAAGTGTCGGGGGTTGAACAAAAAGTCACATCGAACTCACGGTCCTGTGCTTTCAAAATGACTTGCAGGACAGGTGAAAATAGGCTCGAGCCCCTGGGAAACATATCGTGAGTCTCCCAATGTCCAAATCAAGTTGGACTATAGACTGGCAAGTTTGAACCGAACCTCAGACCATTGATCAGTCAATCTCGCCGATGCGGCGACAAAAGTTGGTTGATAGGCCCAACCCTTCCCTCACTCACGGAGTGAGCTGATCCCATTTTGAGCGGCTGCCAGTAACATGGTCCTTCGGGCGCCCTCCCTTCATTGCTTGCCATATGGAACCTGACGTGTCGGGGTCCTGGAAGACGAGTTTCCTTCAAAAGGGGCCATTTCTCTGGAGGATTCATGCATCGTGCATGCGAAGGCTCATCCGAAGCGATGCGAAAACAGTTAAGGGCTTTCACATGTGTCGTCCTGCCAAGGAGGGGGACCAGTTCCACCAGGTTGGCTTTTGATTTCCGTGTGAAACCCATTCAAAAAGGCGTCCCCAACGTTGCAAAACAAATGTGTGTGTTTTGTTGTTGGTTTTCCCCAACAGGAACACCCGCCCTTTTTGGTGCGTTTTTTTGGGGGGTGTCCCCCAAAATTAAATGATGCACACAGACACACGCAGACACACACACACAGACGCAGACACAGACACAGACACGGACACGGACACGGACACGGACACAGACTACCGACACAGACACAGACACAGACACAGACACAGACACAGGCACAGACACAGACACAGACACAGACACAGACACAGACACAGACACAGACACAGACACAGACACAGACACAGACACAGACACACACACAGACAGACACACACACACACACAGACACACACACAACAGACACACACACACACACACACACACACACACACAGACACACACACACACACACACACACACACACACCACACCGCCCGCCCGCCCCGCACGCACGCACGCACGCACGCACGCACGCACGCACGCACGCACGCACGCACGCACGCACGCACGCACGCACGCACGCACGCACGCACGCACGCACGCACGCACGCACGCACGCACGCACGCACGCACGCCACACACACACACACACACACACCCACACCCACACGCACACGCACACGCACGCGCGCGCGCGCACGCACGCACGCACGCACGCACGCACGCACGCACCCACACACACACACACTTACCTGGGTGTCTTTTTCTAGGAGACCCCCCAAAATGATGTTGTCTGTCTTTTGATTTCCCTTTAGAAAACCCACACAACAAAGATGGTACCCATCCGAAAAAATGGACGAGCGCCGCCCAGCCTTCTCCGCCAGGAGCCGCGCTTTCTGGGCCACCAAACCCGTGATCTCGCTCCTCAGCATTGGGAGCCTGCGCTGGAAGTTTCGCGGATGGGTGCCATGGGATGGGAGTAGCCAGAAAAAAGCCAAGGACCCAAGCTGAAAGGTAGCAAGGGCCAATGCAGTTGCACGCATGGAGTTTGACTTGTATGTTTAGCTCTTGCCTTTCCCTTGCGGGTACCTGGTGGCAGAGTTGACATCCCCAAAAAGCCGGGGATACAACAAGTGATAAGGTTACCAGTTTAGAGGTAAACATAATATCAAAACTCTGACCCATGGAAGTGGTATACTAGCAAAAGGTAACTGGTATACAGCATATGCGCACATTATGGGGGAAAATCAGACCATTTTGGCACAACAATTCGGCATAATCATGCCATGTACGTGTTACCATAAGCCAAGAATTGGCCATAAAACCATGCGCATTTCAGTGCCCAGTGTTTCTCAGATGCTTCACATGTGTTTCTAGCAAACACATGAGAAGCATGTGAGGAGCACAGAGCCATTATCCGCAGACTCATGCACATCCAGTATCATTGCTACACACATGAGGGTTGGTAAGTTGCCTGCATAGCTTCCACACATGTGCGTTGATTAAGTGCTTGATATGGTTACAATACAGTGAGCATTGGGTGGGTAGGCACTATGGTTGCGACACGCATGTGGTGCATTGTTTGCCCTCATTGGTTACATGTGTGCTTCTTCTGTGTGTGCATGTTCATATTACTGAGAAGATTGACATGTGCTTCTGACATGAAACTCCTGTGCTGAAGAGCTGAGCACAGGAGTTGCATGTCCAAAGCACATGTTACATGCCAACATGGAACATGCCCTGGCGCAAGCAGCAGCTGCAGCGGCTTGCCCTGCAGCATGAGGAGGTCTGCCTGGCGCATTTGCAAGTACAGCTACATGTTTCAGAGCGCATGGTTTCTTAACTAGACACCTCCAATCACTCAGGAACTCCAAGCCACATGTGCTAAGCAAAGCCACTGTTTTGCTATCAATTAAGCTTTGAGAAGGAGGGGCAGGACCGCATGGAAAGGCATGGTGTTGAAAGCCCACGCCAGGCAAGGCAGAGCTACTGCCTGCACAGCACTGAACTCAGAAAGAACATGATGGGTTGCACTGCCAGGCCACCTCACATACAACTGGGAGTTTTGCCTGTTGACCTATTGGTCCAGTAAACCACTGGAACACTTGACCACTGGAACACTGGGCCACCTTGCGACAGTTGGAACCGTCCCATCACAGCCCTTAATGGCAAGTACAGCCACCAAAAACAATGAAATTGTTACATGGATTGCTGGACCACCATCATGCCGCACAGTTGGAGCTCTCACATCAAGAAGCTGAAATTGTCCACCTGAGGTTAAGAAGACCCTGGTCCCAGCGGCTCTGCAGGGTGCTGGCCCCAGTGCAAAGCCTCCCTGAGTTCTCAAGGTCACCCAGCAAAAAAAACCATAATATTTCATTCTTGCCCTGCAGTTGCACAGCAGTTTCAACCTCTCTGGTGACCCCTGCTTAAATGTGGCAAGACTGTCCGCTGGTCCCATGTTGAGTGGGCCAGTGAGTGCTGATGGTTGCTGGACACCTTTCAGACCAACTTCTAAGGGCCCGACCCTAAGTAGTGCTTCAGACACTTGGGTTTGCATGTGGGAGCATGATGTGTGCCCAGTGGCCGTCAAGTGGATCCAGTGCATCAAGTGGATCCAGTGCCACTTCAGGAGCCATGGAGATGCCATCATCGGCCCCAGCATCATCCGACAGTGCACATGAGCTCCGCGAGGTGTTGGACGCCATAGGCTCCCTCCGTGAGGAAGTTGCCAGTCTCAGGGCCGATCTTACTCAGCTTGAAGCTCCTGATCCCCGAGTTCCTTTGCCCCTGCTCCTTGTGTGGGCTTTCCTGGGTGGAGGCATCACCTTTACGATGATCGTTGGCTACATTTTCCATTTTACACATGATTGCTGATCCTGTCAAGTGGAAGTGGATCCAGGACAAGAGATCAAGTGGATCCAGGATGATAAAAAAGGGCACTTTGCACCGGGCTGAAATCACATGAGTGGCAATACATATATATGTATACATGGGGTCAAGTGAACCATCTTCAACAATTATGGAGCATCCTTCTACTCGAGTCCTTGTTGGGCCAGTGTTGGCTGCCCATTGGTAGTAGTGCCTCCCTTCCCCCGGCCCAGGCCTCCACGTGGACTATGGCAAGCTGACCAAACCTCAGAGTGCACGTGCACACACAAGTCACAGTGTTGGCACATGGATGAGTCTTGGTCACAGTGAGCGTGTGTTTCTGTAGCCAGCATGGACCCTACCCATGAGGAAATGCATTTTTCAAAGAGTGGGGTGCACTTCCTCTGACCCAACTGCTTTGCAGTAGCAACACATCATAAAGAGCATCCAGGCAATGAGCAGGCAGCAGCCTGCAAACATGACTGGCAATTCAAACATGATGAAGCCCGGGCGGGCCTCCTTATGCTTGGATTGCCCAGTCATGTTTGAGCGCATGCAAGTTGGCTCCATGCACCACAGAAACATGGACAAGACATTGCAGGAAAACACACAAATCCTGATTGGGTGATTTGGCGATTATAGAGGCACTTGTGTCCTTTTAAGTGACCCGGCCCTGCTGTGAGGTCACTGGCCACGAGCCGGGTGTTCTCTGCAGAGGAGCTGGTGCATGCGATCAGCCTCAATTGCAAGCCTTGCGACCTGCGTTTGGCCCACGCACATAGATGTATATACATGTGTATGTGAATGTTCTGTAGGATATATCATATGACGGTAAACATGGCACGCCCGGCCTTGCACTCCAAAGCGTCAGGTTTGATCTGCTTGCTCTGAGCGGCCTGCACTCCATTGCATGGGCAAAGGTTTACAAGTGGAATGGTCATGCACACCTTCTTTGCTGGGGAACCCGGAACACATGGTTGAAGAGGGAGAGTTGAGCGCCATGAATGATTCATGCATGCAACTGGCCAAACAACGACTACTTCCAAATCAAGCCTCCGGATCCGAACCAGCACAAGGGCCTGCAAACACTGCAGCACACACACACGCACACAGCACGCGCAAAGACGGACCTGGCCTGCTGATGCAACAGCCTGCTTCGCTTGCTCCAAACGGCCCTTGAAATGCTTCTTGTACTGATCACTGAATTCAAAATTCATCGACGGCGCCGTTGCCAAATGCTGCAACGTGGACTCCAGGCAATCAGGCGGAGCCATGTGCGGGAGAGTCGTCGAGACCTGCTTTTGCTTAGCTTGGGTCGGGCCTTCGGGAGCAATGTCAAAAGGCTGGGTGTCCACGTTGTCGACTGGCGAACCTGGAAGCAGGAGATATCACATTGGACCGTTGAGCCCTTGCAAGAAAACAAGAACGGCCTGTGAGCTCAAGATGTTTCTTGCCACGCGAAAACTTCTTGGAGGGCAGGTTGAGCCCAACAGCGTCCTTGAAAACTTGCAGCCAATCACGGTCCTTGCGTGCCACTGCATGCATGTTTCACAGAAGACCCAATGTCAAGAACTGCATGCGCACGAACCGCAAATCCCAATGGTCTTTCTTGACGTCTTCGCCTTCTTTGCCTGCCTGATCACCCAGCTAGCCTGGGCAGCAGAAATTGCAACAAATGCCACACATGCAGTTGAGGGAGGCGCCATGGACTTCAGAGCACATGCTTGCTCATGCTATCAACATGTGTGTGCACACACACACATAGGTATATATATATATATGCACCAGGGTGGACTTGAACCACCATCTCTACCCGCGGCTAGCAGCCTGACAGGAGGTTTCACGGAGTATTCGGACGAATACTCCGTGAAACCTCCTGTCAGGCTGCTAGCCGCGGGGTAGCGCCTTGCCCGTTAGACAACTGGCACTGTTGCATTCATTGAGAGTGCCGGGACAGACATGTTGCGTGTGATGTGGAGATCGACGCAGGAGCAAGACATCCCAGCCACAGCTAAGGCGGGCTGCCGCCAGATATCAGGCAACACACATATATATATATATACATATATATATATGTATATATCTACATATGTATATCTTTCTATATGTATATATATATATATATATTATATATATATATATATACATATATTGTGGTTGGCAGTGTGTGTGTGTGTGTTACCACACATGTGGCTGAACGTACAGTTTTGCAGTTGATGGAAGTTAACCTTGCTATTCTCATCCAAACGAAACATGATGTCGGCTACCTGTGCCGGTTGGCAGTGCTGCGTTCAGTATTCCTCAGAGTTGTCAGCTTGGCACGCCGGGCAGGCCAAGCCGCCGGACATCCCAGCCATCACGCAGGCCGTTGTTGTTTGGGTGTTCTTTGATCGTGGTTCAGGGTTTTTTGCTTTTCAACGTGTAGGCCCAGATCACGGAGACGGTGATGGAGGCCAGGTTGGTTTCTCGCTTGCTCCACGCAGCAGAAAAATCTCCACACAGGCCATCCCAGGGGACTCATGCAGAGCTTGAAAAGGGGACTCATGCAGAGCTTGTGCGCGTGGTGCCCGGCTGCAGGCCCAGATCACGGAGACAGTGATGGAGGCCAGGTTGGCATCGTGCTTGCTCCACGCACTGTGTTGTTTTTCTGCACACGGGCCATCCCAGAACCGCCTGCTCCTTTGGAGGCTGATGTTGAAAAGGGGACTCATGCAGAGCTTGTACACGTGGCGCCCGGCTGCAGGCCCATGTGCAGATCACGGAGACAGTGATGGAGGCCAGGTTGGTCTCTTGTAGAAATCTGCACACAGGGCATCCCAGAACCGCAATGCTGATGGTGCGTTGGAGGCTGATGTTGAAAAGGGCACTTGTTCAGAGCTTTGTGCGCGTCCGGCTGCAGGGCCAGATCCTGGATTGTTGTGCCAAGTGTGAGTTGCACCCTGCGTTCCCTGTCACACTTGACCTCACATCCAATGCATGGCAAAGCTTGTGGCCCATACCTGCTTAATGAGGACACAGTGCAGCTTTTATAACTCATGGCTTGCCTGACCCAGCGCGCTTTCACTGGT